ATCCGATATAACTTTTAGGGGCGCCCCGTATTTTAAAATATATTTATTTAAAATAGAATCAGTAACTAATTTCGCGGAGGCTCGTTTTAAGGGAACAATTTCGGTCCATTTACTAAAATGATCAACCATAACAAGGAGATAGCGACTTTTATTTAACTGACTTTTTGGGAAAGGGCCCAATAAATCGATGCCGATTATTTCATTTGGAAATTCGGATTTAATACTATTTAGAAACCCGGCCGGGCGGAAATTAATATAATTAACGGCTTGACATGTTGGGCAGGACTGGACATACGCCCTTGTTAACTTTTGCAGTTCAGGAAAGTAGACTGCCTCGCGTACGCGTTGGATAGTTTTTCGAATACCAGCATGAGAAGCTAAAGGGCTGTCATGGAGCTCTTGCAGGATATTTAATCTAAGACTAGCTGGGATAACAGGTCGAAATTCGTTGTTGGAATTCGTAGTTTTTGTATAGAATAATAGACCATCTATTAGTTCGTAATGGGCCGCCCTATTTCTTATCGCCACAATATCTTGGTGGCTAAAATTTTCAGGATCCTTCAAATACTCATAAATACTTCCAAACTCAGGATCCTTACCCAGTTCGGTTATTACAGTTTCTCGGGAATTTATTGTACACGCTGTCAGCATTGCCAACTTTTACGGTATTACCCTGTTCGTCTAATTTAATTCGTGATAGGGCATCTGCTACGATATTTTCCTTTCCGGGGGTATGCTTGATTACCAGATTATATTCTTGCAGCTTGAGTGCCCATCTTATTAACCTTGGGGATAAATTTTTTCCCTGAGTACAATCTAGTTACCGCCGCATGATCAGAATATACTGTTATCGGCGCCTTTCCAAAATAGACTCGGAACTTTTGCACTGCTAACAGAACTGCAAGTGCCTCTCTCTCGGTCGCGGAATAGTTTCTTTGTGTTTGATTTAAAGTTCGGCTAAAAAATGCCACGGGCTGCTGATTTTGCGAAAGTACCGCTCCTACCGCATAATCCGAAGCATCCGCTGAAATTTCTAAATTTTCATCCTTTTCAGGAAATTTCAACACAGGGGCTTGCGTTAATGCTTGTTTTAATTTTTCGAAAGCACTATTGGCTTCGGCCGTCCACGAGAATCTTGCCTTTTTCCTTTTTAATTTTAACAATGGCTCAGCGATAGCCGCAAAATCTTTTATAAAGGACCTATAATATGAACAAAGTCCTAGAAAAGAAGAGAGCTTCTTTGCCGTGTTTGGAGTCGGATACTTTTGTACAGCGATTATTTTTGATTCATCTGTCTCGATCCCTTTTTGCGATATTTTGTAACCTAAATATTTTAATTCAGGGGCTGCAAATTTGCACTTTTCGACATTAACTTTTAGACCGGCCTCATTTAATAAAGAAAACACCTGTCTTAAATCCTGTACATGTTGGTCGAGATTATCACTAGTAATAATGATATCGTCTAAATAGATAAATGTGGACTTTCCAAGAACAGGTCTTAACACAATGTCCATGCATCGCTGAAATGTTGCTGGGGCGCCTGAAAGGCCAAACGGCATACGCAAAAATGCATAAGTGCCAGACTTGGTTATAAAAGCAGTCTTAGGCACGTCCTCAGGCCTGACCCCTATTTGAAAATAACCATTCGTTAAGTCTAAAGTCGTCATAAATTTGGTTGATTTTATGTTCCTTAAAATTTCTTCTATAATCGGTAACGGATATACCGGATATTTCGTTATGGAATTTAATTTACGGTAATCAATAGCGAATCTCCACCTTTTTGGATGCTCCAAAGGATAATCATTATTTTTCTTACATAAAACCACCGGGACTAGCATAACTACTTGAGATAGGCGTTATGATCTTTTTACGTAGCATATCGGTAATATGCCATTCTATAATTTTTTCCTTATTCTTATCATACCGGTATGGTTTTTGACGAACCGGCAATGCATCTCCGGTGTCAATACTATGGTTAGTAACCTGAGTAAATCCTGGAATATCACTAAATAAGGAAGCAAATTCACTTACCACTTGTCGGATTCTATCTTGCTCGTCATTAGGCAGGTGGTCAAGATTTAACCTTCGGCGGTTCAACCTTTTCTACACGCACTGGTTTCATTCGTCAGCTTAAGGGACGCTTCATTAAAATCCAGTGTAGCTTGTGCGTCTGAAAGAAAGTCTATTCCTAGATTAAATGTGCTTGCAAATTCTTTACTATAAAAAACATCACCTTTACTTGTTCGTCCTTGATACGGATATACAAAGGTACTTTACCTACGCACTTACATTGTTCTCCTTGCGCCGCTAATACTGTCGTATTATCCGCATTATATATGCGGTATTTGCGAAAATACTTTCTAAAAAAGACTTCTGCCACACAGGAACACTGCGCGCCGGTATCCAGGAGTGCGGTGGCCGGGATATTATTTACCAAGACTTCAATCTTCGGAAGAGTCAAATTTTTCACCATTACTGTATTTAACTTGTAGGAAGAGGGGTTTTCGTGGCCTTCGGATTTCCGCACCCTCTCGTCAGCAGAAATCCGTTTTAGTTTAAATTATTTTTCCTTTCCGGTGCTTTCCTTCTTTTTCCACTGGCCTTGAGACTTTTTTCCTGGGTTGCTATTGAACTGTCGACGTTCGCCGGCTGTTTTTGAATGCTCGGGTTTCCTTGCCCACTGATTCGCTTTTTCTCCGTAGCCATGTGCTTGAGTTTGCTGTTTGCTGTAGTCTTGGCGTACCAAATTGGTTTCGCTGTTGATATTGGCGTCTTCTTTCGACGTCCGCCGTTCTTCTACTTTCAAACTGGATTGCTAGCTCAAATAACTTTTCCAGTGTAGTCGGATTTCTTAATTCAATAAAGTCTTGCACTTGGGGTAGTAACCTCGGCAAAATCACTTGAATTATTTCAGGATCCGGACGGTTTCCATACAAGAGCTTGAAAACGTGAATTTTTCTTAAAATAAAGCTCGAGAGGTTTTTCGATTCTTTGTTGATATATACTGAAAAGTTCCTGTTTCTAATTTCGCACGATCCCTTACAACAGGGAAGGCTTTTAGTAGGGCAGTCTTGAAATTTTCGTAAGTATAGGTGGGACTTCCTGCTTGACCCAAGAGACTTCTGCCGATACATTTGAACCAGTTAAGCGCTTGGCCCCTCAAAGCGCTGGTAGCTAAGGTAACTTTTTGAAACTCGTGCACGGGGGTAGAGCATGAAGTGGTCATCCAATTTTTCCAAAAAACTGGTTACCGGTGAGTTTCCATTAAACGTTGCTTCTGGTTTCATCGAAGCGCGCATGGTCTGGACGATGTAACCCAAATCCTTCCAGGGCGGCAGCTGGCATTTCTGGATTCTGAGCCGTTTCTGCAGGCAGCACAGGTTCTTCTTGAAACTCGGCCATGGTTATTCTTCGTTCGGGCGCCACTATCAGGTTCAATGTTTCTTCTAACCTTCTTCGGAAACATACAATGACCTGACTAGGAACAGAGAGCTTACTAAAGCTATGTTCACTAATTGTAGTAAGTAGACAGGATACAGACGAAGGGTATACAAAACCCTTTATTTTTCTTTATATACAATGACTTCCGTACTTCGGAATACAATGACCCTCCACTCGGGGTCTAACGTAAAAGATATCAAAATAAAACTAAACTCTAATTTAACTTTAGAATAAGATTGGCCTTATAATAACAGGAAGCGTATGTAGCACAGAGACTGTGAACACTACAATACGTTTAATTTATCAAGAGGATTAAAACCTCTGGCCTGGAAGGCAAAGTAGCAACTGCGTAACTTCTAAGGTAAGCGGCCTGCTTCGAACTCACTGCTTCCTCTCTTCTGCTTGGCAAAAAGGCCACACTTAAATACTTGGCGTTCGCCAGACAAACTTTGCATAAAAACTCCTTCACGCTTATAATTCTGGCCGGAAGTAGAAAATAAGAAGTGATAGTAAAGATTTAAAATAAAATAAACGTTAGTAAAACTTAAGATCCTTACAAAGTTAAAAAAATATGCGAATCCGGCCGTAAAAGTTTCTTTATCTTTTCTTTGTGAAATGCCTTCTGCAAGTTATAACCACTACAAAAGTACTTTCAGTGTCCCTGCTCACTTCCTAAGAATGGCATCAAATTTGGGAGTTCTTGCTGCTTAGCTAAATTCAACTAAATGAATCAGTTTAATCAATAATGGCAAAAATCACATTGTTCCCTTATATTTATTTACTATGTCAATAAAATAGAAAATAACTCTTTATTAATGTATGTACATAGTCTATAAATAAAAATATTACCTGTTTGTCATTAATTATTATTATTTTTTTTTCAATTCACTTTAATTTAATTTCAAATTCAAGCTGTTCAACAAAAGTTGCAATCGGAGTCGATGTGTTTTTTAGCGACTCCAATTCCGAATCCTTTTACCCCAAAATCTACCCAACTCCGACTCCACAGCCCTGCTATTCCCCTCCTGGTGCAGTCCGTTTGAAAAATTTGCAAGCGAAGCAGATATACTTTACAGTTACTTCCAAGAAAATTCATCTGTTTTCTGTCATTTAAGCATAAACATATCTTATGGGTCCAATTGACCCACTTAGTGGTTGTAGGTATAAGTGTTAATAATCAGAAATTTATTTATGTTACGCATTTCCAAATTCGGTAAGTTGCTGTTTACCTTAAATTACTAAAAGTCATAAAAGGAATTTTTTTTTTTTTTTCAATTATTACTTTTTTTGTGGGGACAAATTAAACATCAGTTTAGGTCAAATTGACCTGCTTCACGGTTCTAGTGGTAATATTTTGTTTTGATACAAAGGAATCTGTAGTGTGGAAATCTTGGAATTTTCTCTTTGTTAAAAAGTACTGTTGCACTAAATGATTATTTTGATTGAAAAATTTCTTTAATATGGCACTTTTGATATTTTGATTTCTTTAATATTTTGATAGATCTCTACTATTTTTCCCTATTTATCTAGCTATTGTATATATGTATAAGAAAACTTACCAAAAGAAAGTAATGAGCTGAAACTGGAGTACTTATATGGAATTCCATTCCACAGAAGTAGAATTGCTGTCAAATGATTTTCATCAATTTCTGATCCAAAAACCTGAAAATTAACACTTCTTATTTCAGTTTAATCCCTTACCATACAAGCTCATATATATTCAAGGTGTTAATTTTTACAAAAAATGAAACTTCTAGTATAGTTGGGCATCATTCATTGAGAAAAATAAAAATAATAAGAAGAAAAATATATGAAAACTGAAACGCTATTTCTGAAATAATCGTTATTTTAAGGGGTTAAGGCAGCTTTTATGGAAATATTTATATATAAGTAATAAATTTTTTGATGTTGTAAATAGCTTCAGGGTTGGTAAATAGCTCAGTGGCATAACAGGCTTAATGGGCCAAGGCCTGCAGTGCCCGAAATCTGCTTTCTTGACCGTGGGCCAAGGGGTGCCTTGAACAAGTGGTCAGCTTGTCAGAGAACCCCCAGTGTTTAGTCCCCAAACGAACTTGATACTCATTTTATCGACCCAAGTGATGGAAATCAAGGGATGAAAGGCTGAGTCAACCTTGTCCAGCCCGGGAATCAAACCACGGACCTGTAGTGCTGCTGCGCAGAGCGCTAGCCACTGCGCCACCGGGCCTTACAGTAATATAGTTTCCAAGGTCAAAATTCATTTCCAGTCATATTCCCTTTATGTAAATATACGGGTTAGAACTAGATGAAAATTCTTTATTTTTAAGGCAGGGGTTCCCAACTGTATGCCTGCGGGCCCCATGGCACCTGCCGATCGTTTATTGTGTGCCCGCCGCTGTACGATCACAATAAAAATGATTTAGTTCTCAATAGAATTCTATGTGAAAGTTTTCTCATTTTCAATGAAATAGAAATTACCAGATACCAGCACAAAGCGAAATGCGACCAATCTCTTTTTTTTTTATGTGCATGTATTATTAACTCTTTAACTATAAATTCATCTTGAAAAAGTAAATTGTGCCTGCCATCTAACAAATATTCTAGAATGTGCTCTTAGGTATAAGAAGGTTGGGAACCCCTGGCTTAGGTAATTCCAAAACCACTGTATGATTCCATGTAAATTTATTTTTCCCATATGAAAAGAAAAAAAGTGAGCACTGAAGGCCTAATCAGGACTTGGCTGGAACTTTAATAATGTCATTGTTTATTTACAATTGTGAACACTCTATGTTCATTAATAAATAGATTCTTATTTTAAATCAGTAGACTCCTCTGATGTAGCTATCAGCATACTGTTAACTCATTGCCAGTGATGTGACAATCATAATATATTTATAGCAGCAAGCATTACTAGCTGAAGAATTTCTGAACTGTTTGAAAATAAATGCTACAAAGTGATTCCTTCACCTTAGGAATTAAGTCAAACAAGGGTTAAAGCCCAAAGAATGTGGTGAGTGGTAGAGCAGTGTAGTTTTCTTAATGCCCAGAAATGCATTCGGGATATGATCTTATCTCTATCTAACTTATGAATAATCTGGCATTGATCTATTTTCTAAAACATACCAATAGCTTGCATTTCTTCTTCACTGGCATTGTGGCAGTCTGAGCAAAATAATTTTTCAACGTCAAAAATCTTCAATGTTTTTAAGTCAAACAACAAAAATCAGCGTTATATTTTCAACTTTTCACAGGACTAGTTTCGGTGGTTTTACCGAACCATCAGCCTCAGCTGCAAAAGCGCAAATGAACGAGATAAGATATAGTAGATTAGATAAGATAAGAAAGATTGGACAGGAGTTAAGTTACTGGCTCCATCTGTTGATAAAACAAGAACTAAAAAATAATTTCCTTAAAGGCCGAAGGCAAAGATGGATTGGAATTAGGGTCGTTATCTAGAACAGAAAGATTTTTTTAATGTGAAATGCCTCTAGAAAATCTAATTCACTAATGGAAAAAGTTTTTTGAATAATTTTGGCTGCAGAAAAAATTGAAAGTGATTTTTGGACCAACAATGCTGGGCAACAGAAGACTTCTGTGTTTCCTTTTTTCTAACACATGCCTCATGTTCCTTAACGTGAAATTTTAAGGCTCTCTTAGTTTGACCAATGTAAATTAAACCACACTGGCAAGGAATCCTGTAAATACCCCAGGAATTCATATTCGGAATGGGGTCCCTGAGTATGGAACTCGGAATTTTATTGATGGGAGAATAAACGACCAGAAAGTTAAATTTCTGTAAAATGCGTGCAATTTTATAGCTAATTGATGGAAAGAAGGGAATGACAACAGAATGCTTATAAGCTATAAAACAAGAGTGTGCCTTTTGGTGTGTTGAGACGAGAATTTTTTAACTGCTCGATGAATAATGTTGGGGGAAAAGCCCTTGTCAATAGCTACTGCTTTTAAATAATTTAGTTCTTCATCAAGAGACAGTTTTTGGAAAAGCAAACTTGAAGTGCACGGAAAACATACGAATGAAATGAAGTTAACTTTTGTTTAGTCGGATGACATGAAATATGGAAACAAAATGGTATGTTATTTAAAAAGATGTCCGATTTTGTGTCACAATTACCTAAATTAGAACAATGCTGTATACATATCCTAAGTCGCACTTTCGAGACGTGAAACACGCAAATTGAATTTCGTCAATTGGTCCAGTAGAACGAGAGATATAGACCTGTCCCCCCTTTTTTTTTGCGCAGTGTACATATAATCTGTATATAACTAAACATTATATTTCACATTTTTTGTAACTGTAATCAACATTTATAGGTCAATCAAATTCTAGAAACATATTCAACATAGTTATTTTAGATCAAGATTACTATTTATGTGGATAATTTTTATAAATTTTACTGTACATAAACAGATACACAGCTTAAAAACATACACAGATTTTGTTCTTTAGATTCTGCTTTTAAAATTTTGATTTTTTAAAAAGGCTTATTCTGTATTGAGTTGTTTTTTGACATTGACAGACAGTGGAAAGCGACTTGATGTAACTTCAGGAAACTAATTTTTCGTATTAATAAGTCCAGCAATGCCTTTTTAAAAAATCAATTACCAGTGGCTGAGTAGTTAAAACTGTTAAATAGTGGTAGTTTGGCCTGGTTTGCTTTCGATCCCAGGCGAACGGGCTGGCTGCTTAGTTGTTGTGTGGTTTTCCTCAAGTGTAAACGTGAATGTGGGTAAGTTTCTCTCCGTCAGTCCAGCACGAAGGGATCCATCCTCTTATGCAGATAGTCCTTGTGGTTTTGCTATATGAAAATAACCTAACCTAACTAGAAGTCCAGCAGAATTTAAAGTAAATTGTAAATCAAAAAATAATAAGCGGAAATTAATAATAATAATAATAATAATAATAATGGGAGAAATTCAAAATTCGCACATTTATTCAGTATTTGTGAAAAAAATGTAATATTGTCAAATCTTAAAAAATTCCATAAAATTAATTAAAATTAATGCCTGGTCATCACTAGTGATTTAAAAAAATACTTTTAAAGAAATATTTGTCAAGTTTATGTTTTATTTTGTTACTTGTCTAAGATCGTTTATAAAACTCTGGTAACAAATTAATGTTGTGCCAACTGATTAAGATCATGCATAACGTTAGATAGTTGGTGTTTCTTGCATCTACAGCGTAACAACATTAAACTAGAACCATCACATTCGAACATGTAATGTTTAAGTGGGATTACTTCTATTAGAAATGTATCAGAAAAACACATTAGAATAGTATTAGAATGTTTGAATACCTGAAAAGCTGCTTTTATCTTCCCTCGAGGTGATAAATCTTGTCTTAACAAGCAAAGCCCAGCATCATAGATTCGCACGTCCAGAGATTCCTTTCTATGCTGAAGAAGAATTTGTTTTTTAAAAAACAATTTTTATGTACAATTAAGTTTTTAGAAACAGTTTTTAGAGTATGTGAACATCAAATGTATGCTGATGATATTTCAAATGGTCGGTCACTTCAAACTTAATGCATTCGTCGAGAACGGCTAATATCCATCAGTCATTTAGCCGTCATGTCATCGAGATGTTGCCCAATGTGCACCAGTAGGTGTGACCGACTTTATGCTTGCAAAAACGGAGAAGTTCGTTCCAATTTTAATGAGAAACATTCCGGTTAGGTCGGAAGGTCTGTCATCCATCTTTTTTTATCAACAAGAATTTTATATATAGATAATATGTGTATATAACATTTAAAACATATGAAGCAAACTACTGACTTAATTTAGCAATACCGCTTTTAATTCTTCATTTTAATCTGACTATCTGACCCCCCTTCCTAGAATCTAAAGTGCTTCATATCTGGAAACTAGTCCGCACAACACTGCTTTTCTGGAACTTTCCTTTGACGATCCGGAACACTCAGATAACGAGATGTACAGAAAGCAACGCACGATGTTAACTGAAGTCCACAGGCGAGCAGTTCGTTCCTAAATTTACTCTCAGGAACAATCCCTAACCGTTGCCACCAATTTTAATATTACTGCTGTGGTGTAGTGGCCGAAACCGCTACACAAACCCCGGGTCGTATTACGGAGTTGAAATGAACTTCTAACTCAAGTTATATCTATGCCATGAATTTTAATAAAATAAAAACATTAACAAGTGCATATCCAGACGATATGGGACTTGAATACATTCATTCCCGTCATTTCAGAAATTTGTTAACAGGGGGAATGTTCTATCGCATTATACACGAGGATTGATAGTTCCAGCGGGCCAATATGCCTATAGCTCCAGCAGGAAAGTTCCCACTCTTCTCAAGAAACCACCTTTTATATCTCACTGTGTTTACTTGCGCTGAACCTCCCGGAGGGGGAGATTCCTTTACTCGTACATAACAAAAGTGTCCATCTCTTGACCTTGATGAAAAGACTTCATTTATCTCTTTGTCCCTTGGAGTGACCTTCGAGGCTGCAACCGGAATCCTTAACAAAGCACCCTATTAGAACAGGATTTCACCTATGGACTGAAAACTATTGCATTCTGAAATCATTCATCCTAGACAAAGAACCTCTATGCGACCTTATCACACCGTCTTATAATTCCTGCAGTGCTGCAAGCTCTTGGTTAATCATCGTTCAAAATTTAAAGAAAGAATTTAACCGTTATAAGTATGCCTTTGCTGAAATGCGCAGTCACGTTTTATACTCTCTGTTGTCCTCCTATCACGTGATAAGTTATGAAAATTATGGGGATGCATATTGCATTCATAAATGATGTGTTATTGAAGGTATATATCAAGAATGTCCAGGAATAAATTATCCGTTCAACTGGGCACGTTTGCCTGAAAGTGCATTATTCCATCTATGCAGCAGTTTAAAGCTATCTTCTTATATATAGTTATCCTCATATAAATCATCATATATTCATAATATATATATATATATATAATTGCTTTTCTAATTCTACATGTATTTTTCTAAAACAACGGAAAGCATATATATTAACGGCTGAAAGTAGTTGCCCTGGAATGTACGCAGTGAGTCCATAAGTGCAACATACAATTCCGTGTGTTATGTAATTCGGTATAACAGCACAGACTTGCAGTTTGAAAAGATTGCTCATCAGTAGTCGAATGGATAAAACCGAGGGCAGTAAAGGCCCGTCCACACGAGGACGCTCCCGACGTAGTTGACGTAACTTTTTTGACGCCGGTGTAAATTCACGTGACGCAGAAGACGTAAAATTGAGTATGCTCCTGTTCAGCTTTTTCGCCCGCGACGCGCGCGTATATCCAATAGTCGACCGAGTTCTTATCACGTGTCGTAATCAGAAAACCTTCTTACTTACCGTTTCAATATGGCGTCCGAACCACACAGAGATGAGTTTTTGCTTAGAAATATAACTGTATACAGCAATAAAATAATCAGCATTGTTCACGCCATCTTCAGATTTCTCAAACCGTACATATTGGTATACATTTAAAATTCTCATTAAAGGGGAAAACTGTATATTTATAAAGCAATGATCCAACCAGTATATCCATATGCTTCACCTATTTATAGCACCGTAAGTAATAGGAACCTAAATAAATTACAGTTTCTACGAAATCAAAGTTTCTTACAAAATTCTCCTTAATTATTATAAATATTGGCTATATCATGTGTAATAAAAAGCTCTATAAATATCCCAATATTAAATACACCAAAAACTAACTTCAGCAATATAACAACTTCTAAGATAAAGCAGTTGACTGTGAAAGAGTATTCAATAAAATACAATTACGAAATTTTGGAGGAAAGTTACAACTTGTGTCATACAACAATCATTTATTGAAGTGTAATTAAATTACCTTTGTAGCGACTTCTACTTGTTACATTATTTTTCGGAAAAACTGCTGTCATAGATAGCTGAGTGGTTAGCGCGCTGCTTTGGTGGCGGATAAATGGAAAGGTGGCGAGTTCGAACCTCACTCATAGATGGTGTTAAGTTAACTTTTCTCATTTTGAAACGTGTTTCTTATATTTAATCATGAATCATTGTATTCTTATTTTACCTATTATTATTGTTTTCATTTCTTATTTTATTCATTATTATTATTGTTTTTAATTTAGTTTAAAAATGTGCAGTGCAAATAGAAATCCTTATGTAATAATATATCTGCATCTCTTTATCATATATCATCTATAAATTCTCTATTTTTACTTTATTGCATATTTCATCATGCACATAATTTCTCATAAACTGTCCAAAGTTTGAACCTCATTCTAAATTCAAAAATAAATAAAAAGAAAAACAAAGACCAAGGGAGAGGGAGTTAAAAAAATATGAAGTTGGTTTTATTATATGGTGGATGGTGTAAATAAAGATTATATAATGTATTCCAAACCAATTTTATAAATCTTAAGTTTCATACGATATAGAATCTGCAAGTCTGTCAAATTGGCCGATACTCATCCTGAAGGAATTAAAAAACAAGTAATATACCCCCTCCCCCCCAAAAAAAATTAAGTCAATTCCTACTTAGGTCCATAAAGAAAAATTTAAAAAATACAAAAATAAATAAAAATACAAACAGAATTTTTTAAAACTTAAACATTTTAATATGTGAAAAAGCTGTATTAACATCCAGTGTCATTCACTACAAGTTTAAAAAATTGTATTTGAACTTGAGTGGATGAATAAAAAGCATTTTATGTACTGAAAATTTGAACAAGATATAGGGAGAGTGTGAGCTAATAGTAGGAATTTAATAATTCCATATATTCCTTTCGCAAACAAGGTAAAAATTTTTGCGCAAAATTTCTATTGGTTAAACGCACTCTTCGCAAGCGTACTCGTTTGGACGCTTTACCCTGGTAACGTAAAAGCGCGTTCATCAGCTACGTTTCGAGCGTACTCGTGTGGACGGGCCTTAACAGTTTTACTGCAGATTTGTATTTCGTGATTAGATGGTTACTTGCGTGCTTTTCTATGCAAGCCAGTCTCCTTATTCATAGCAAAAGTGGAATGTATTATGCTGTAAGAGACCAACTTCAGGAGAGCCAATGCTTACTGCTGTGACAAACGTTACTTTTGCCGACTGGTGTTCGCTCTCATTTTTGGTACTGTTGGGCAATGTAGCATATAAACATGGCTACTTCAGTGGTGTAAAGAACGAAGACATATTAATGCGCACAAATTATTTTTTGCGTTGAATCTTGGTACAATAGCTGGAGTCATGGACATCGGACTTTCGTTTACCGCTTAACTGGAAAAATATATTTGGAAGACATGCAAGTAAATTCTACGAATAGTGAGGTAACATTTACAAATATTCAATCCGACATGTCACTAAAACATATTTGATTTACTCGTTTCAAAATGCTGTGTACAATACAACTTTTTCTTGCTAGAGACAAATATTTTTCATAAATTCGTATTTTAATATATACTTATGCTTGGGAAAGTTGCAACAATCTGAAACAATCATTAGATAGAAAGAAATTCGCATTACACATGACTAATGGTAATAAAAATAAATGATTAAAGTTTCAGACCACTAGAACAACATTACTCGCACAAAATTAGAGGTTTGTGAAGCTGCTAATAAAGGTAATAAGAGCTTCTACACATGGTAGTTATGAGTCGAAGAGGCTTTTGGATGTGTTCTGAAGTTCACTGTTCATGGTTCAAGTTAATTGCTCATTGGATACTCAGCTATCTTCTGATGGAGATACTATGGAGAGGAGTGACATTCCAATCAGTGAAATGTCCATATTACATATATACAGTCAGCAACATCTACAGCGAATAGGTAGGCCAGAGAAGAAGTGTGTTGTGCAGTAAATTTTATCACATAAACATTCTATGCAATATGTAATCGGTCATTATGTGTTGTAATATAGCGTAAGAAGTGCGTTAAAGAAAGGGCCTCTACAACTTCCCTGATATAGTTCTTGCTGTCGATAGTATCTGCGACTCTTGGCAGCTCACACAACTACGCCTGTCGTTTCTTTAGAACAAGGGTCTCCAAACTTTCCAGCCTTCGGGCCATACTGGTTACTCGAGTTAGTTTCAAGGGCCAAAACCGTTTTAGTTTTCTGGACATCTGATAGTCAAAAGCGGAAATAGGTAATACCCTCTATACGCTAACTGATAACAGATGGTGCTAGTCGTCCTTTCGAAAGCGCAGTATAATAATTAAACATTCTAGGGAAGGCGAAGGAAGCGAAACAGTCAGTTGTGAAATAAAGTAGTGCGTAACCCCCATTTAAAAGACATCTTCGAACTGCCCAACGCCCCTACGTAACATAATTTTAATTTAACTTTGGAAGTTTGCGGACAGAAAAAATTGATGCTCGGATTGCAGTCGTAGCCATATTTGCTTACGAAAGTCTATACTGTATAAGAAACTGCAACTTGTGCCAGCTTTTGTATGGCTCTTGAAATCGCTAAAAGTGGAAAACCATTCACCGATGGAGAAATAAATGATCAAAGAATGCGTTATTGCAGTAGCCGAAGAAATGTGCTCCGAAAGGGGAATTTTATTCAAAATTGTCAGTTTGTCAGCAAACACCGTGGCTTGGAGGACAGAAGACATCGCAGAAAATATATCATCTCAACTGTCTGACCTCTGGCCTTGGATGAGTCAATGAATGTGTCAGATGCTGCTCATATGTTGAATTTTATTCGAGAAGTAGATAAAAGCTATGGAGTGTATGAAGAACTCCTTGATATTGATAGTATTCACGGCACGACTACTGGGGAAGATATTTTTAAGAGAGTTGAAAATGCCATTAATAAAAAGCCATTGATGAAAAACTTGAAATTGATTACAACTGATGAAGGCAGAAACATGTGTGGTAAAAATGAAGGAATGGTTGCTCTTGTGTCAAAGAAAATGATGATGGTTCAAAACCATTAGTCTTGCATAGTATCATTCATCAACAGTTCTTGTGCGGGAAATGTTTGGATATGTTTGAAATTCTAAAACCAGTCATATCAGTTGTTAATTTCATCAGATCTATTCGGCTGAATACTGAAAATTCCGCGAGTTTATTGAAGAGATTGGAGAAAATGACTTACCATATCATACTGCCGTACGCTGGCTTAATTTTGGAAGTCTTTTAGCGCTATTTCGAACTTGAAGCAGTGATCGAAAGTTTTTGGAATGGAAGGTATCGCTGTCTTACCGAAATACAAAATAGCGAATGGATGTTTAATTTAGCATTCTATGTCGATTTGACAAAACACATGAACGAACCGAATTTGAGATTGCAAGGAGAAAAACAGATTCTCTCTGATTTACACTAATACCAAATCGTTTCAACAGAAAATAATACTGTTTCAATCGCAATTACGTAAAAATTGTTAAAATGTTTTACACATTTTAAAACATGCGAAATATTCAGCCACATTACTGACACTGAATTTCTCGTCGATTTTGCAATTGAAGCTTTGAGTACTTTGAAGATAAATTTTGATACTCGTTTCTCAGACTTTAATGCCACTGCGACTGAAATTAAGATTTTTCAAAATCCTTTTGATACTGACATTGAAACTCTAGACCGGAACATCAAATAGAAATTATTGATTTACAGTGCAGTGATATAATTAAGAACAAATATCAAAATTCATCTTTGTTGGAATTTTATAAGAGTCTTCCAGTGGTACAATTTGATAATTTGCATAAATTTCCTTGTAGGCTGTTTCCTGTTTTTGGTACTACTTGTGTGAAAAAATATTCTCCGAAATGAAGTACACAAAGAACGTTTACAGGTCTATGTTTACCGATGAAAATCTTAAATCTCCTTTAATAACTGGTGCTAGTAAAACTGGTCTACAAACTACTGTTAGTGGAAAATCACAATTATGTAAATCTCATTAGTATCCCAGTTATTATTATTCTGTGTGTTTTTATCAAACATATCACAGCAACAATAAGCCATTAGCGCAATGTCGAGGGCCGGATTTGGCCCGCGGTCCATAGTTTGGGAACCCCTGGTCTAGAATGATGCTCTAAACTGCATGTTGGAAGATGGAATTCACTATAGCAACATCACTATAGCCTATGCGGAGATTATCTGAATACGGGTTAAAGCAATTACCAGAAAATGTGGCTTGCTACCAATTTTTACTGCACTCTTCCGTGTTCACTACGCCAATAAGTGTAAGAGGATGAAGATTTATGATCAGACATGTAGGCTTGGTAACAGCATATGCATGCTGTAAAATAATGGAAACAATGTCATCCTTGTAGCAATGCTCACACTCTTTGTTAATGTTCGAGAAAAACTTGCACATTTCATCACTGGCATGGAAAGGAGATGTCTGTCATCCACTGGTGTCGTCGCATCTTTCAATCTGTTGTCAGATGTTCTTCTGTTTCTCTTCAGTCTACTGCTTCCAAACTAGTATGACTGTCCATGGCATTATCTACGGCGATACATACATCCTCCTACGCATAGGAAGATAATTCATCCCTTTTAAAACTCTGTAGTTTGCTCATACGAGCCCTTTGATACAGAACAAGTAATGTGACTCTTACAGGAAAATTTCCTGTTCATTAATAAGCTACTTGTCTGGTTCTTTAATAGCCCTCTGTTTATACATTTCACACGACTTTTCAGGCAACGCTGTTGAATCCAAGCATGTGGATTCACTTTCCATTTCTAATAATGTGCGTATAAGATCTTATTTTACATATCCTTAAGTTTCATTCAATTCTACCAATTCCTCCATTGTGTTGCAATTTTCATAAACATAAGTATATTTACAAATTTTGTTTGTAGATTTTAACAAGTAAATTGTAATCAATTATGTTGAAATACTTTTAAATAAAGCTTAATTAATATTAGGTGAAAGTTCTTGCCTGATCGAGAAGATTGTAGAAATCTTTTAGGGCTTCTGGGCATCGTTGCAAACCTAGACAATGAGCCATATGTTTTACATCGCCTTGCATCTTTTCTGTGTCATTTCGCTTTTCTTCAATAGAGAGAAGTTCTTTACCTGGGTCTGTATTTTGACGCCTGAAAAATATTCATGCACGGAATCAAAAATATTGTAACAACACTAATATTGATACAATTTGGTCAAAACATAAATTCATTTTCAAATTGAATGTAAGGAAACGTGTATTCGTTATGCTATTACACAGATGCAAGAAACAAAGTTAAAAGTTAAGTTCTTAATCAAATGAATAGTTTTCAAATATTCGAATCAAATCCAAGTTATTAGACTGAGTTAAAATGAAAGCTAATGTTGAAAATATTTAGGAACTGTAATAGTGTTTTCTAACTGACTATAGTCAGGCTCCTATACAGCTAATCTGGTGTGATATTATTTTATTATATTAAGTAATTACATGGAGCGTTTTTATATGCGCAGAAAGGAAGCAGTAATTCTATGATATTCGCATAACGCCGTCTATACCTAATTCAGTAGCACTTAAGTGTATTAACGAATCCTGTTTAGTTTGGAACAGTAAATTTTAGTGGTGATAGTTATTGTGTTAGGTAATTTTTAGAAGCAGGCAACATGAAAAATGAGAAATTGCCTTCGCCGGGAATCGAACCACGGACCTCGGGAATACCGGCCCAGCGTTCAGAATAACTACACCACGAAGGCACAATAAGAAGGCAGGAGAAATAGCTTAGAATTATACGTTTTGAATGAATTCGAAGTAAAATTTACGTTACTGTCTACACGCGGAATTCATATAAGTATCATGATGCAATACTACCATTTCTTACAAGAACAAAATATGATACAATAATATCATTCCTTGCATCAGTTGTTGCTGCCTTGTCCAAGGAGTCAAATAGGACCAAAAGTATCCAGAACAGCCGCAGCAACATCAATAATTTTCGAAGAATTTCGGAAGTTCCATGAACACTTATACTGTGGGGAGTGTTTCTGATTTATTTGAATAGTAGTGAGAACGGGATAGTGGTTGTTGATTGCAGATTTTATTACGTCCCAGTGACAATTATCTGCAGTTTGGTAGCTTATAGCGGTGATACCTAAAGCTGACGCAGTACCGTTGGCTCTAGAGACATAGTGCTTTCTCCCGTGTTAAGAATAGTCAAATTCAAGTGAGCAGCCAGGTCTTCAATTTGGTTTCCCTTGAAATCCAGTATGCACTTTCCATGGAAAAGGAAGTTTGGCAGAGCCTTCGAAGAGGATGGACATCTGCTTGTTGGTTCGCGGAGGGTATTTTATTTCCCCTCAACTAGTGTGAAGGCTTTTTCAGACTTTTCAAAATTTTTAGCGTATTAGAAAATTGCCTCTTCTGATGATTAATTTAATTCTCTGATGATGATGATCTGGAGGTACATGCGTTATTCTGCCTATGAAACTCCGCAACATGAACTTCCTTGATCCATGATCCCCTCAAACACCCAATGGAAATCCAATGGAGGCATTCCCCGATCCGCCACCTGGGGACGCGCCCTGTAGAGGTTACAGGCTCCCTTGAGGGCTTGCATCAGTTACTGTGGTATTGTTCAATACAAAAACAAGAATATACACTCGTGTGGAAATTACATGCATTATGTATCCTTTGTATAGCATACGTATTGTTACGAAATGTACAGGCGCGGTAAGATAGCTTCCCCGCAAAGCAGTTTTAGGGTTGCCATAAAATGACAAGGGCGAGGCAGGGTTGCCACATTTGGCGGCACAATCTGCCGATATAACCATGGACGGAGGGAGAACCTTCTGGAACGAATTCATACCGGTTTAGCCGGTTCCGGTTTGTGTTCTCGAACACAAACCAGAACACAAACCGAAAGTTATATAAACCCTCATGGTCCGCAGTCAGTTAGTGTGTGTGCCTCGTCAAGAGGGCGAGTGAGAGTGCCTCGTAAAGTGCGAGAGAGTTAGTATCGAGTTAGTGTCTCGTCTAGCGAGTCAATCCCTGCGGAGTCGATCAAATCGACAGCTGGCAGTGAGTGCGAGTGGGTCGTTGAGTCCACTGAAGGAGTCTGTTAGTTGTATCACTGTTTAGTGCATCGTCGAGATAGCGTGTTGAGCTCCGGGAACGACTGAACCGAAGAGTCGGGAAGCCCGTGCTCTGTAGTGTTCGTTCGAGTGCATTCGCGAGTTTGTAGTGTGGAGAGTCTCAAAGAGTACGTGGAGTTCCGAGAACGACCAAGCAAAGTCAGGAGCTGTACTCTAGTGCTTTGCCAGTGAAGCTGTCTCCAATGTGATAGCCTGATAAATCTGGAGGCTGTGTCTTTGATCGTGTCAGCAGTGTTTATAGTAGTTCATCGACGACTGTAAAAACGTGTTTTGGAGCTGTCCTGACAATACTGGTCAATAAAGTGTGTTTCGATATTTCATCAAGCAGTGTCGTCGTTATTCACTCCAGATCCACACGAACCCAGTACGCACTTGAAGGAAGAAAATAACTTATTAACTGGTGTCAGAAAAGAAAAACGCAACAACTGGTGTCAGGAGTGGAGTTTGACGGTGAATGCCAGTAACAAGAGCAATGGAAGATCTATAAGACAGCTCGTGACTGCCTTTGCTGAATTCCAAGAAATGATGGAAGCTGGACAGGAGAAGTTGAAAGCCGGATATGCTGAGATAAAAGCCGGATGTGCTGAGATAAAAGCCGGATATGATGAGATAAAAGCTGAATATAAAGAGATAAAAGCTGGATATAAATAGATGACAGCTGAGATCAAAGCCGGGCTAGAAGAGAAGAAACGCCGTAGAGAATAAATGGCGGCCAAGAAAATGTGCGAGAGCAACTCCAATAGCTGAAAGTGGAGTTTACAGAAGAAACTGGAGCCATAAAAGAAGATGTGAAAAATGACAGTAGTGGCATCTGAACAATCCAAGGATGAAGAAATGAAGGAAGTAGCTAACAAAGTGCCTGAGAAAGATCCAGAAATGATCGATGAAATATCTAACGGGATTAAAGAAACAGAACAAAAACATGAAAAAAATAAAAGACGGGAAGGAAGATTTTGATTCTCACGTGCCTGAAGTAGAGATAGAAGAAAATGAAAATGCGACTGTTAAGTTCGTCAAAACTGATAGTGAAGTTACGAAGTCGCAGGCAGCAGGTGTTGAACCATCTGGAAGTGCATGTGATGCAGAGATGGGAGAAACTGATGTGCAGCTTAAGCAGTGCGCTTCAGTACTGCAAGAAAATTCACCCAGCTCGCAAATTATGTGTGCGTCTCATAGTGCACATTTTGCAGACAAGGACTTGATTCTAAACCAGGATGCTTCTGTTTGTAAAGAATCGGGTTCCGTTCATGACTCTGATGCAGAATTTGAAGCTGGTTCCCAGGAACAGGGAGAAAACGAGTATGTACCAGCTGCTAAATATACCGAAGTGGACTGTATGTATCCTGCGAATGAACTACAGAGTGGTGAACAAACTGTTTCACATCTTCCGGTGGATGAAAGGTCTGAAAGGACTGAATCTTCAGACTGTGATATGCAAAACATAAATATATCTGAGAACTGCAGTGGAAAAGTATTTGGCCCGGGTATATTTTAGTGAATAGACTGAGACTGAAATTCATTCAGAACTTTAATGTATATAATTTAAAATTATTATGTGTTTAATTTGTGTATATAACTTGTATATAGTGTACATATTTGTTTCTTTAGTTATGTTACTTGTTTGTTTTATTATGTTTTGTTAGTATCGAATTAGCTTCTGACCTTGGCTTCTGACCAAGGGTTGTACTGCCCGGAACGTGCAGTCCTTGGGAGGGGGCAGTGTTACGAAATGTACAGGCGTGGTAAGATAGCTTCCCCGCAAAGCAGTTTTAGGGTTGCCATAACATGGCAAGGGAAGGCAGGGTTGCCACATTTGGTGAGATATCGCCCATTTGGTGACATCTGGCGGCAAAATTGGCGATATCCCATAGAAGAATGGAGAACCTTCTGGAACGAATTCTTACCGGTTTAGCCCGAATGTTCTCGAACACAAGCCGAAAGCTGTATAAACCCTGCTGGTCCGCAGTCAGAGTATGTTGTGCCTCGCATAGAGTGCGAGAGAGTTAGTATCGAGTTGGTGTCTTGTCTAGCAAGTCAATCCCTGCGGAGTCGATCGACTTGACAGCTGGGCAGCGAGTGCCGAGTGGGTCCTCGAGTTCACCGAAGGAGTCGTTTAGTGTATCGCAGTTAGTGCATCTTCGAGAGAGCTTGTTGAGCTCCGGGAACGACTGAACCGAAGAGTCGGGAGCCGTACTCTGTGTGTCGTCGAGTGCATCGCGAGTTGTAGCGTGGAGAGTCTCGAGAGTACGTGGAGTCTCAAGAACGACCGAGCAGAGTAGGGAGCTGTACTCTGGTGCTTTGCAGTGAAGCTGTCTCCACCGTGATAGTCTGATAATCTGGAGGCTGTGTCGCAGCGTGTTTATAGTAGTCCGTCAACGACTGTAAAAACGTGTTTTGGAGCTGTCCTGACAATACTGACCAATAAAGTGTATTTCGATACTTCATCAAGCAGTGTCGTCGTTATTCACTCCAAATCCACACGAACCCAGTACGAACTTGAAAGAAGAAAATAACGTAACAACTGGTGTCAGAAAAGAAAAACGCAATAGTATGTAAAGGATATACCAGAAAATAAGCTGTCTTTTGTAAGGTGACCATACCCCACAAATTTTTTGGGACAGTCCCGAATATTCAGTTTCTGTCCCGATTTTTTACAACTCGTTTTTTTGGTCCCGAATTTACAACATTTGTCTCGAATTGTCCTGAAAACAGTAGTGTGAGAAAGTAAAAATTTAAATGCATATATTTATTTAAGTAGTGTAGATTGCAAACTAAGAATACAAGCCTAAGTTAAGAGACGCGCGCCATACCAACAAACCCCTAGCAACTGTATCCAAACTTAGCATGTATCTAGATCTAGAGGGTGCTGGATAGAGCAAGACAGAAGGTAACTTTAATTCAATAAATGCTAAAAAACTCTAGAAAAGCTTGAACAGAATGGAGACGTTTCACAATACGAAGTTATAAGGTTACTTCATCAAAATAATTCAGAAGGGTTACAACTTATTATTTTGTTTAAGAATGAATATTGCGTTTTGATTTCTTGTTTATTTATTAGAAAAATGTATATGAATATTAAAAATAAAACAAAAAATTATTTATTTTGATCTATATATATATATATGTATATACAGATCCGCCTCTACCACAATAACAATACCACCTCCACCACAATAATAATAATAATAATAAAATAATTAAAATAATTATTTGTAAAAAAATATTAAAAAAAAATCTGAATGTTTTCAGATTTTTTATGAAGCCCAAAGGGACTTTTTTAACGTTTTGTGTGATAACTTTATTTATTAAATATCATGTTCTTTGTACTCAAAATATAAAATTCAATTCAACAGCAATATCCCAAAATAGTTTTAAAATGAGCATATCCCCTTTAAAATTTCCGATACAGTCTCGCACGCTGGAAATGAAAGCTTATTATTTTTTTTCATACAGTGTTGCCATTGCTCGCTTTGGAATCGTCGAGTTTGTTAATCAAAAATTCATCAAAATGTTTCAAAATATGAAATCGATAGTAAAATTTCAAATTCCAAATTAGGGTTTCCAGATGCCCATATCCGGTGGAAGATCACATTTTTCAGAATTTGATGGCTCTAGATACTGTTGTTTTATCACAGTGCGAGAAACATACATATATTTATGCAGATTATTCATTGGTTAATTTCTTTAAGTATATATAACACAAGGAAAATTTGGTGGCAACAATTTGAAAAGTGATACGACATTCACATTTATAGTGACATTTATAGTGAACCAACGCAAAATACCAAAACGAAATTAATACACCTTCTGGGCTCGCTCTTTGGGCTAGTAAAAATTATATACAGAGCGTCCCGAATTTTGAAGTTCGAAATCTAGTCATCCTATTTTTTGGAAAATCCGAGTAGCCACTTAATTGCTTAGTACAATTATCAGGAAAAATTAGTTATTCAGAATTATTATAATTCAGAATTAGCAAATGCGGTTTTTGTAATGAATTTACATTTAAGTTCTTTTTTGAGAAGAATTTACTTTGAGTTTAAGCATAGATATCTTACCCGATCGCATGTCTAAGACGTAGTAGTTTGATCATTGCCGCTGTAAGTGGTAGATGAAGATTTCGAGCTACCTTTAGAAATCGTGCATCTTCTACGCTAAAGCGAGATGCAGGTACATGAATCCACCTTTTTCAAAAATAAAAATATGTATGTTAAAAAGTTCAAAATATGGAACTGTAGATATAAGTAAAAAGTTCATGCATATTTTTAAAACAATAGGTGTAGAAACAATTTTTTTTTCGAAACTCTTTCACAAACTTCTCTTGTAAGAATCTATGATGTACATTCTACAATTTTACAAGCATTTTATTTCTGCTACATATACATTATAATGACAGAATACAGGGTGATTCTACGATCTATGGACAAAGTTGGAGGGGTGGCTGAGCATACTAAAACATGTATTTTTTTGTATAAGAATGTAGGGTCTAAAAGTGACGTGTTTTGGCACGAACACAAAAAATGACACGGGAAGAAAAATGTTTTTATTTACAAAATCAACGCAAGGTGCTTCTTTGCAGCTACACAGTATTCACAAGAAACGTTTAAAATTGAGACCACCAGCAGTGATACGAAGTACAGCTGTGGTTGGCTGGTAATCCAGCTGGTAGAGGATGGTAGTGAGCCGGGCAAACCGCGATCCGATGCATCAGCAAAAGAATGTCATTCGCAACTGTGATTTCGAGCGTGATGACTGAGTTAAAGTATAGTAAAAAGGCTGACGTGTATGGCGCTGCTACTGAGAACGGCAGAACAGCGTTGCGATTGTACCAGGAACAGTTTACGAACACGCGTATGTCGAAGCACACAATTTTCGAGAGTTTGCATTAGTTCCTGTGTCAAAGCGGATCTTTTGGCCCCAACTCTGGCAGTAGGAATGGAACAAGAACTGTACGACAGCATCACATGGAAGAATTCATCTTGAACATGTCGTCTGCATGTAAGTCAGCCCACCGTTTATAGAGTATTGTATAAAAATTGTTTCCACCCATACCCAGAAAGTCCCAGCCTTGCAAGCGACAGATTACTCTCTGGGCGTGGATTTCTATCGTCGGTTCTTGCAGCAGTGTGCGGCGCAGTCGGATTTCCCACTGGACGTGCTATTCACGGACGAAGAAGGAACACAAGAAGGCGTCTTCAATATGCACAACAGTCACGTGTAGGCAATTGATAATCCACAGTCCACACGTATTTCAAATCCGCTTCTCTGTGAATGTGTGGGTGGGTACTGTTAACGAGTATCTAATAGCCCATACCTCCTACAGCATGTCACGATAGCTCATGTTATAGTATTTTTCTGCAAAATGTTTTACCGGAATTGCTTCAGGATGTTTCGGCTGTCGTTCGTGATCGCATGTGATTCCAGCATCATGGTGCGCTAGCCCATTACGATCTGTTGGTAAGGAATTACTTGGATGAGAATTTTGTGGGGCGTGGTTGACCAGTCGGATGACCATTCCGTTCGCCAGATTTAGCCAGCGGAAGTTTCTTTTTATGGGGGCTTTGAAGAGCATAATTTACGAGACTCCTGTTGACTCACCGGAGGACCTTACTGCACAACTATCCATTGCAGCTGCAAGAGTTCTCGAAATGTCTGCCATTTTTTAAAGTGTTCGCCGAACCCGTCTACGACACTACCAAGCATGTATTACTGTTGGTGGTTGCAATTTTGAATATTTCTTGCGAATACTATAGTGCTGCAGAGAAGCATTTTTCGTGTTGATTTTGTAAGTAAAAAGATTTTCTCCCCGTGTCATTTTTTTGCGTTTGTGCCTTAACATGTCACTTTAGACCCTATATTCCTATGAAAAAGATACATGTTTTCGTGCTCTCAACCACCTCTCCAAGTTTGTCTCATGATCGTAAAATCACCCTGTATATTGCGAAATAAAATTAGACATTTTCAATCAAACATTACACAATCAATAACACATTTCCAATCAATGGAGGAAATAATTTAAAACTTAGGATAAGACAATAGGTACAAAAGTAGCGTGATAAATCCAAGAAAGGCATTTATATTATAATCCAAGGAAAGTAATTATATATTATATATTATAAGGTATTTTCTTCCTCCTTTCTGCATGGCTTCGTGGTGTAACGATAGCGCGTATTCGAGAGGTCTAGGTTGGAGTACCGGTGAAGCCATTTCACATTTTTCATGCCTCCTTCATCTAAATAATCTAATGTCTCTGCAATATTTACAGATTTATAAACCAAAGGAAAAGAACTGGCACCCAGTAACTATTCGAATCGATTTAAATTATACACAGCTATAAGACATAAAAGTGAAAGACACCTGTGCTATTATTTGTCAGAGTCCCCTGCCCCTGCAATACATTTTTTTCCATCGTGTACGAGCTTCTGCAGTCTGGCAATGTATTATCTATCCGCTCGTGCCTGGATGATTGAAGATCTGCCTGAATTACTTCATCATATCGGTGAAATATTGTTCCTTCAAGGTGCTTTTTCAAACGACCAAAAAAGTAAAAATCATCTGAAACAAAGTCAGAGGATGGCAGTATTTTCCAGTTTAAATTGATCAATAACTACTACTGTTTTAATGGCCTTGGGTATCTGTCAGTATGCACAATAGCATCTTTAAAGTAGAATCCCGCTCATTTCTCCTGAATCGCTTTCCGTACTTTATGAGAAAGTTGCACAGTGGAATCCTTACACATAGCAACTTTTATTTTAAAAATCTTTCGCTAGACTGCGTTATGGGTTTATTCGAAACGGAAATTTTCAGGCGACTTTTACTCAGATCATCTTTGATGAATTCATTAACTTTGTTTACAACAGCATTTCTCAATCTGGGGTCCAAGTGGTCCTCGAAGACCTTCTAGACCTTTTAAATTTCCAAAAATGACAAAAAATCAAATTAACTTTATATACCCCACTATAGCTGAAAATTTGAGTTTGGAAATTACACATGGCAATCGTCTATCACATTTTCTCCCCAAACTGACATGAAATTTACTATCGTTATCTTACCCACGGACATTCAAACACAGAACAGTTATGAAATTTACTATCGTTATCTTACCCACGGACATTCAAACACAGAACAGCTATGCAAGAATCAGTAAGCATATCCATCTCATTAATTTGAGAAACAATATTCATTTAATTCTGAGTTAATAAGATAAAGATTATCTGTATACTAATAGCTTTGAATTATTAAAAACAAATATAAAATTTCTTTTATTAACTCAATTATTGCACACCAATTTAAAATTAATTAAATTTTATTTTAAAAATATAAGTATTTTTAAAAATTGTTTTCGAAGGATATAAGTGTAAAATTTGCCAGCAGAACATTCTGATTTATAAAAGTGGTCCTCACTTGAAGAAAGTTTGAGAAACGCTGACTTACAGATTCGAACTCCGGCAACCAGATTACAGTCTGTTCTCTAAACATATGATAGTCCACTGCGAATTTCTGCAAATTTTAAATGTTTTTTCGTGCCTAAATTTTGCTCCGGTACTGGAATTGTTTGGTTGAAAGCTGTCTTAAGTAACACTGCTTAGAAAAATGATTGATTTTGCAGCTGCCATAATCATATCTCTATAGTTCGATTCGTAAAATTTACTGAATAAGATTTGTATTTAGTAATCGAATATATTTTGAAATTGTCAAATAGCTTTTGTTTTTAGTATTTTCTAATAGAATTACTAAAAACAAAATTCAAATATTTACTGAATATTTCTTATAATCTCTTTCATATTTTAAATTTAGTGCCTCTCATGTCCCTCAGGAGCGCAATTCATTAATTTATAATGCAGCAATATGAATGGCCGTTCCATATACGAGTAACATAGTGAAGAACACCTGAAATAATCAAATTTAAATTAATATACAGTCAGAAGAACAGGATGCAGCAATATGAATGGCTGTTCCATATACGACTAACATAGTGAAGAACACATGAAATAATCAAATTTAAATTAGCATACAGTCAGATAAAACAGGACGAAAATCTTTTGGAAAGTCATTTAACATTTGGACAAATTAATATCACGACAGGCCAGCATATAATAATTTTAAAATAAATATAATATTAAACATAACTAGAAATTCAAATATTTTTAGATTTGTCACAGCCCGTCAGGAAGCAGGCATTGGTGTATGCTAAATACGTAAGTTAATTTTGAAGTCAACTTAAGGGAAATTCACTGTCACTTACATGGTGCTCAAGGCTATTGCCAGCGACAAGGTGTAAACTTGCGCTCCTTGCCACTAGGAATTTTGTGGGCTTGTGCTAACTATAGATCAGATAAGTGAGTAAGAATTAGCAAACAACAACAACAAGGGAAATTTGAAGTGTTCCTAAGAAAACTGAATATATATGTAGAGATGCAAAGACGGTGGAGGATAGAATTTGATGCTCCGCTACAGTTACATGAACAAGTTTGAGAAGGAAGTGTGACATCAGGGCCGTCTTAACGCATGAGCCCGCTGGGTACGTGCCCACGGGCAGAGGGGCCCCATGTTAATCCATTTACATTTAATTTATATTCACTTCTTGAGTAGTTTTGTAGGGCAAACACTTGGTCAATCAGCGTACTGGTTTGCCCAGAGGCCTATAATGCTGTTAAGACGGCATTGTGTAACACCTGTCTGGGGCTTATCTTACTTAGCTAGTTCAAATTACAATTCTGACTTAAGTGTTCCGTATATTCTGTAACTAAGTTATCATCACTAGAATAAATAAGCTCTTAAATTAAATAGGCATAAGGATACTTTAAATTTATTCTATTACACCATTTGTGAGGGCTAAACTAAAATAACTAATAATAACTTGTGAGGGCTAAAGTACTAGTCACCTGAATCTGGCTACGAACGTAAGTTTTCTTTAAAACTGTTCTAATTACAGTATCTAATTTAACCAGAGACTACAAGATTTATTTCAGACAGAGAACAGTAATTCAAAATTCTAACCTACCAAACCAATTTTATTTTGCGATTTTCAATCTAACGTGAAAGAGTGGTTCCTCTCCAAGAGAAAAATTCCACTGCAGACAGGTTTGCGCGAATACCAAACTTTCACCTACCAGCTATGCGTTATTCTTCGAACTTTATAGTACAACTGCTTTCCACTCAGATATACATAAGTTCTGGAATGAGTGAACCTTGGAGCGAAATGAGGCAAAAGATGTAAACTAAACAAAAACATGCTAAACAAACTCAAACATTTGCCCAAATAGAATTTACATCTAAAAGTAAAGCTTTAACACAAGCCAGTATCATTTTTACCCTGAGGTCACTGAAAGGACCCTCTGTATGAAATGAAGAAAAGACGATGCAACAACAAAAGAATAAAAATAGATGAAACGTGGGGACTTTGCAACAGGCTTTCAGTGTATACGTCACAAAGCCAGCGATACGGGATGCATATTTCACAAGTGCACATCAGCGTAGCCACTAAGGGAGGAGTTTCGAAAATGGACCAATGAGCTTCTATTGCTCTTGTGACACTAAATCTTCGTGCATGTGAGGATACGTCGTTTATGTTTTAATTCCTATTTGTTTCGCAGTTATAAATGAATGGTGTAAATAGTAGAAAATCTCGTAGTGCTTTCGTTTTATGAGTTTAATTAATCGCTGACACTTCTCTTTCGCGACTTTTTCACGCATTAATAATTGGATTGATGTTCACGGCATATTATCTCTCTTTACATCGAGAAAATGACTCAAGCCACAATTAGCCTCGAATAATATGCATTTACTAGCACCTGTGGATTAAGAGAATTCAATTGTATAGTTTCTTTTAATTGAGCTGAGGAGAACTGGAAGTGTTACAATGAATCCAGTGTTTTCTTATTTCAGTGCTTGCATTCTTTTGATTTTGAAAGTGTAAGATTCAGAATACATGTTGTGTATGATCTGATTATATCCATTGATAACATTAAAAGTTATATGTGAATAAATTGAATAAATTCGTTGTGAATAAGATACATTCATTCTGTTTGAAGAGTAGTTCTGCAAGACATTTAATAGTGAACTGATTTAATGTGAAATTTTACTCACTAAACGTATACGAATGCAAATTGGTTAAGTTCACTTTGAATAAAATTCTACATCGGCTATTATAATAGAATATCTTTTTCATGACTGCAAAAAATGGTGCTGACTTCTATTTACAAATGTAATTGGTGTAAATATTTTTCTTATATATATAGTTTTATGTAAAGATAGTATTTGGGCTCAGATGTTTATCACGTATTTCTTTCTTCATCTTATTTACAACTTATTATTAATAATAAGTGGTAAATAAAAATATATATGCAAAATAAGTAATATTTTGCATAGATATTTTTTCGGAGTATCCAACATGTGTTTGTATTTATTTCAAATTCTTTCAATCAGGTAGTGAAATCTTCACAATTGCTTATATTTGATCTAACTTTGCAATGAAAATTTTCATAAGAAATCGACGATGTTTTAATTATTTTGTACAGAAAAGTGCGTGGCAGAATATTTTCAATCATCTTGCTTAAATCTTAAAGCACGCGAAAGGTCTTGTGACATGAGAGAAATATTAATAGATCCCATAGGTCAATTCTAGAAGCCACTCCCTCGGTGGCTACACAGATGTGCACTTGTGAAGTATACATACGGGCTGATGTGAAACAGACTATTTGAGCGTCCCTCTCACCTTAAAATCATATTCGCTCTTTATAGATTTTTTCTGCAGCATTGCTGATGATGTACTGATGCTAGTGGCGGCCATTTTGAACATCTGTAACTTAAAAGTATGTGACACCATAAAAAAAAAAAAAAAAAAAAAAAAAAAAAAAAAAAAAAAAAACAGGTTTACTTGCTTTCTAGTATTTATGCTGCTAACGTTCAAAGACTGTAAATATTATTTTGAGACAATATATAATTTTACATTTGTCTTATTAGGTTCTGTTTCATAATTCTTATGACCACGTGTAAGAGTAAAAAGAAACACTTTGAGATCAAGAGCTTCAGTATCCGATGAAAAGAATTTTGAATTTGAAAACTTCTCGCTAGAGAACATTCAAAACGAATTTTCATAGTTGTTGGACGGTGGCGTGCCATGGTTTCTACCGAAGGGCTCTAGATATGATGCACACCACTCAGACCGCATCTATGGTAAATGTTAGTTATTATGCTATTACAATACTATATACAACAATATACCTCAAAATTTAAAAGAAATTCACTATACATAAATTAGAGAAAGATTCTTTTTATGTATCTGTGCCGAAAGTTGAATTCAGCTAAGAGAGAGCGTTTTTTACAATTAAAAATTATATTCTCCTTCCTTCCAGCATGCCTTCGTGGTGTAATGGTACCTAACTCGTATTCGAGAGGCCCAGGTTCGAGTAGCGGTGAGGGCATTGCACATTCTTCCCAACTCCTGCTTCAAAATAATCTAATGACTCTACAATGTCTCCCGAACTAAAAAGATGGTGGGTGATAATTCGACACCACTAGGATTTGGCGCTTGGTTCCCCTAGTCCTCTTAAAAGGCGAAGTGTATAAAGTATTTTCTCCCTCCTTTCAAGCATGCCTTCGTGGTGTAACGGTAGCACACTAGGAGCATATTCGAGAGATCCAGTTTCGAGTCCCGGTGAGGACACTGCTCATTTTTCGTGTCCTCCTGCTTCAAAAAACCCAATGAATCTATAAGATTAAAGTTAAATGTTTTTACAAAGTCATTGACTTTAAATTTAGGTCTTTCGTTAAATGGCTAAAACACAATAAAATATTTTTAAATTGTTACTTTTTAATTAACATTTTTATCTCAAAATACTGGAACATTTTTATCTCAAAATACTGGAAAGAAAATGCTGCAATAAAAATTATGATTATCAGTATAAAAATTCTTTTTTACAGTTATTATACTTTTTTGTACCTTTAAAAAGCCTTACCTAGAAACATAATTCTGGACATTACGGGCAAAAAGTCTGGAATTTTCTTTCTCATGCTGAGTCGGACTATATACTGGTAGAAACTAATAAAAGAAAAACATAGTTAATAATACCTCCTGCATTAACAACTTCATAAACAAAATAATAATATTATGTCAACTATAGAAAATGAGAAAGCACCTACTTCTAATTCACAGTAGATGCGAAACTGTGAAAGAGAAAGCCAAAGCTGTTTCAATCTGGAAATAAGGAAATATTTGAATTGTGATTCCCAGAAAATGGAACATAACTTAATATTTTTTATAAAAGTATACAAATATTTGTTTATAAGATCCTTCTGACCCATTTAAATGGAATTTGGGAATTAGAGTGCAACGGATTATGAAAAATCAATGAAAAAGTAAGTTTCTTACGTGCTGCTTCCATGAATACGGACTCTGTCATACACTAATCTGGAATGTTGTTACAATAAAAATCTTCAAAATCTAAACATCTCATGTATTCGCGATTTTGCTTATGTATATACGAGAAATAAAAGTAGAATTAAATTTGATCCCAATAAGCACTAGTTCCTTTTGGCAAATTAATAACTAATTAATACACGTACATGAAAAATTTAAACTTAACCTGTAGAGAAATTATGTTAATCAACCAGTCATTGTCATTTCAGAGTTTACTATCACTTCCCATTTCCGTATTCCTCACCAGCTTGCAAATTAGTTGTGAATATTTAAACTGAGGTTTTGGGATTTTAAAAAAGCGAGTGTATCTGGTATTGCGTGCGCGCTACGTAGTTAGTTTCCTGCTAGCTCTAACTGTTGTAATTATTCGGCTTGCTATCTCTCGCTGCCAGCACTTTAATTCCGACGCTTCGTAGAGTTATTGAGCCAGCTTCTAGATAGTATTCAATTGTGTAGTCTTCGATTCTGCTTAAAATTTAATTTAGACTGTTCTATTTATTTGCATCCTCACGATTTGTGAGTATTTTAACACAACAGCGTGCATTTATGTTCTAAGTTCTGTCTACATAAAACGGTTTTTTGTAAAATTTGTAACATAATTTGTATGTTCCGTGACCTATCTGTAGGTATTTCAGTGCTTCTACATTGAATTCAGAACCATAGTTAGGGTTTCCAAGGCCCAGGAACGACTGAAGTTTTCGCTGCCCTTCTCGTCGTGTTTGCCAAGAATGGAGAATATTTAATTTTAAAATTTCGTAACATCAACTTAGTGGCTGCTGGATGTTACTTATGTTGTCCCGTGTTGCCCCAGTCTCGCCACTGAGTAAATTAGCTCTAGATTTAATCTTATTGGATCAAAATTCGCTTTTCAAAAATATATCTGAACTCTTGAATGCGTAGGGATAAGCTGATTTATTTACTTCAGCTTCCTTAGGCATTTCCGAAGAAACTGAATTGAGGCGATTATACTGCTTAATTCATTTTCATATTATCTCTATTTTCATGGTTACTTATCCGCCTATGAAGTTCATGTTTTATCATCCTTAAGAGAAAATTTGATATTATAGACCTCTAAAATGCTTTACACGGCGATGCAATACTTCATCTATGTGGCTGTAACAGCTTACACCATTCTGTTATCAATATATAGACTGATGTGATGTTTATTATCATTTCTTTTTATAGACTGCGTTCGGAAAATAGCTATATGCCTGCATGACCTTATATGCAAAATATGATTGTATACTGAGTATATTACGTTCGCTGCTAGTAAATGTTTTCTGGAATGGTTGGCAGTCCTACGTTGAGTGCAACCACCGCTATCCAGTTAGGCTGAGACAAAAAGATGTGTCTATTTTCATTATGTGTTCATCGCCGTTAAATGATCAAGACTGTGTCTTTTTACGTGAACTCAGAATGGTGTTAATTTTAGAACAGAATAAATCTGAATACCTTATATTATTCATGGCAAGTACTTACAAACTGCAAAAAACCAATTTTTCTTTAGATTTCCAGGTACAGTGGGCCTTAATTTATATAATATAAGAATACTAATCTGAAATTCAGAAAGACTGGATCGATAAAATACTATAGGTGAAGAGGTATACTATAAATACTCGATGAAGGAAAACTCAAATCAAAAAGACATATCAGGTGCTATGCAACGTAATACCAACACGTCCACGTTTCGACCGGACAGAAAAACATCGATATTGCAATTGCACACAAAGCTTTCTATAACCTCAGTCTTATCCTATATAACAAGAAAGTGGTCCTAAATCATTAGCAACAGGCCATGAAAAGGAAATTTAGAATTACAAATAGTTTTAACATTTCTAGCTGATAGTTTTGACGATATTTGGCCTAAGTTTCCTATACCGATGATGCATAGTTCTATTTATCAGGGTTCGTACAAACGAATGGTCTGCTAACAAACGCATATGGAACGCCGCATATGGAATTTTTTTACATTACTAGAAGACTATGGAATGGATAGCAACATCTAGGAAAAGAACATTTGGTCCAACAATCACAGCCTGCAAGAACTACTATTCATGATTTCACCAAGAACATGTTACGTGAACAATTTGTAAGATTCATAGAGAACAAGAAAAATCGCGTGCAAAAACGTCTGGATGTTGACGGAGCCATTTCCAATACCTATAGTAAGAAGAACCTGATGTTAGGTATTGGAAAAAAATAATGCATGACAGGTGTAAGTTACTTTTCGAACGCATTGTAGAACCAAACACCTTAATGCACGGTTGTTATTACTAGACTACCACTAAAAGCGAATACGCTTTAGCGTTATATGCAGCACATTATATTATAATGCAGCACATTATAATCGTTCAAGGGCCTGGTAGTGAGAATTCTATCAATTAGGTTTTTCCCAAACAATAACAGAGCTGGGATTTGAGGAGAGAAGAAGAAATCAGGCGCTTGTAGGAACCATAGGAAATTTAAACTCACTTCAGTACACAGATGAGCAAAAAACAGGGTTATTGAGTACTCATGATATTAGCAAATGGAATTTGTATATGCTAAGCCGAAGATCTGCTTTCAAGATCTTGCAGCAGTCCCCATTTAGCGAAATCACATACAGGATGAATTAAATCATGGATTTCCAGGATAGATTGGTAGAAATGGACCTATCCCATGGTTCTTAATACTAATCTGAAATTCTTAATTTTAGGCAAGTCCTTAGCCTACACGTGGCTTTTTCAAAAATGATGCTCACAGTATACGAATTACTGAACTAAATAAAAGCATTTTCAATTCACTTGCCATAATACATATTTCAGACAGACCTCACAAAATCCCACCATTCGTTCTTTGAGATTTCATACTTTAATTTTGCACATCTGTATAATTAAAGCAAAGAAAATTGAGACATATATTCCGTATTTGCATATTTTACCGTGGACCATTTCGGCAAATAAAAATTGTCTCCAAATAGTGCAATTTAGAGCCAATAATGGATAAACGTGATGTCACAACTAACTTTGGTTTCATCCAACCCCGATTATTTCTCGATAAGCCAGAGTAGAAGTATTCCATCCGCCATTATGGAGTGTTGGCCGCTCTGGCCTAAATTTTAATGTTTGTGTAATAATAATCCCAAAGCTTTAGTTCCTGAAGTTTTTTTATATTCTGTGTTGGTAATCTGTATTTAGTTATTATGCAACTGTGAACTCAGAGTGATGTGTGATTATCTAAATAAAGAAAGAATCATCCCTTCCTTCAAAATTTTGCGGAATGATTGCGCAAGTTTGGCAGATCTCCGTTAGCTTTTATGATGGACGAAAGCCAACTTCCACGGTCGACGGGAAAATTCGTAAGTATCCACAATTTAATTCAATATTAGTATTACTTTTCAGTCTGATGCGTGTTTTCTTTGATGCCCAAAGAAAATTACGAAGTTATAACATTCCAAATTGATCAAATTTCAAATGAAAATAAAAATTTCAATAATTTAGTTTCATACAGTTCGCTTTATTTACTAATGCTCCCGAGAAGCTTAAAATCATTCCTCATTTTATAAAAATATACCCTTTCTTTCCCCCCCTTTTTTTTTTTTTAGTTTTTGACAGAGGTATGCAATTTTTCTTTATTATGATGTACACTTACGCTCCTGGACCATCCCATGTCCATGTGATCGTATCCTGAAACAATAAATACGTGTTTTAGATCATACAATATGCTAAAGTTATTTAATGAGAAAGAGATGTTTGACATTATTTACCAATTTATTCCTGTACCGTATGAAAACAGGTTGTACAGGAACGCCAGGGGCAAATCCTCCTGTAAAAAACAAACAATTAAAAAGTTTTACTAGATACGAGAAATTTAGGCAATTGCTTAAAGGCAGCTATCAATTTATAGTCTTTTGGATTATTTAGTCATTCTTAAATTTAGTAAATGATATTTTCCAAATAGTCCAATCGTGATTTATTAGATTTTAAGCGCGTCTTTATTACAGATATGATACTCGATCACAAACTGATTCAAAGGGCCGATTAACTTTACTAAACTATAAATGGTGATTCGTCAGAAGAGAGCGGTGACTGTTTAAGAAATCTTTCACCAAGAGCTATTGCTGGAAGCATTGCAGGAAAATTCAATTCCCATTTCAGAAGAGGAAAGAATATTTATTTAAAATATTAACAACTGAAATTGATTATTATTGCGGCGTAAAAGGAGTTTTGGCGGGTACCCCTTGGTGAAAATTGACGATTTTTGAAGGTACATGGATACAGAGTTTGTGCAATTCTTTGAATTGTTACTTTCGCTTGTGCAAAAATCGCCGTTACACAAAGCCAAAATAACAACACCAAAAATTGCACAAAATCGGTATCCATGTACACAACGACCTATTTTCCCTTAAAAAAACATCAGAGAATCGCACAAACTTGGCATAGCACACTCCCTTGACTTTAACCATGTACACATCGACCTATTTTCACTTAAAAAAACATCAGAGACTTGCACAAACTAGGCATTGCACACTCTCTTCAGATTGTCCATGTACACATAGAACTATATTTACTTAAAAAGTCAAAGGAGCAGCCAACAAAAAAGGATATAATCTCAATAAACTACATTTTATATCAAACAATGAAATAACATAAAAAAGGAAATTCATCTTTGCACTATACAAAGGAAATATCCACTTACCTTATTTACGAATTAACATGTCTTCAATCAAACAAAATTCCTTAACAGCATCCAAAAACTTTCTACAATTATCTGAACTAGAATCTGTATACTGGCGTCGCCACATAAATTCACAAGAGTAAAAAATATCCTCCGTTTATCGTCCGACCATACGTATTTCTTTCCTACCGTACATAAACTTCAATTAATCTTACCACATTCAGCCATTTTACCGTCTAAACCACAAAACAAACAATATACTTCCTAAGCAACACACACACAAGCCCTTACGAATTAACCGCAATCATGCAGCCGATTACGTCATAATAGGATTTCCATAACATTCAGCTACTCAGGGTACCCATAAATGAAACAACAACTTGGCGATAAATGAACCAACAGCTTCGCGATAATACAAGGGGTAACCTTCTCTCTACTCTAACCGGAGTTTTCACCCACTCCTGAGGTTACTAAAGTACATGAAGAAGATTATTTCTCTAAGTCGAGGAACGCCTTCGTATAGCATTTTTTTAAGGAAAACTGGCTCATATTCAGGCTACACATGAAAGGAAGACCACAAAAATTCCCATTAACTACCCCATTCCCAGGCACCGAAACACGGTTCGAGCTACCAGAGTTCAGCGCCTTTACTGCTCGTCCGCTGGTTGGGCGTATTTGTAAATAAATTGGACGAATTTTAGAAGCGCACTTCCTCATTATTCAGACTGTTTTAATCACTGTGGCCGTCTGGAACATAGGAAATGTTAAACACCGTTCTGACTCCAATAAGATTAATATTTATTTACATTTTTTGGATATAGAATTACACAGACAGAAAATCAGTCATTGTTCTTTTTCTTCTTGAAGCTTTACTGTTGCCACTCTGGGGAAAAGAAAATTGCATGCGAGGAGTTTCACAGATGGCTCTTCATTAACGCAAATGATGTCGTCACAATTACATTGGCAACATATGTACGAAACGTTTATATTTTCCATATTCTTGCGCGGAGAAATCTCCAAGGAAATTCATAATTTATGGATTATTTAATATTTCTTAACAACAGTACTCATGCGCTTGGATGTTACAATTCATCGCGTTACATGGTGTTCCTTGCTTGGCTTAAGTGCAACTTTATTGCAAGAATTAATGTTTACTTGATCTGTATCCAAGATTCTTAAGTACATTACTAATACATTATTGAAGGTAACGAGAGGGCCGACGTTTTGGCCAAAGAGGCGACTTTGGATGTTCCCGGGGTGTGTTCCATTGTCCAGCCTTCAAGAAAAATGGTTATTACTAGAATCAAACAGTATTATATTGATTTGTGGTATGATAATTGGAATAATTCGAATAAAAGAAAAGAATATGCCTATTATTTAAAACCTATGTTTAATAAAAGTATTTCTTGTCATTTGGATTTTAATCAAATTGTTACTTGACATGGGCGCTTCCCGGTGTATCTTAAAAGATTTGGCATATAAGAGAATGAATATTGTCATAATTGTGGAGTTGTCGGATCGCAAGGCACTATGTGGAAGAATGTACACTTACTTATGACATAGGAAAAAAATATAATTTTATTAAGATTTTTACAGGTGCTGAAAAAGAATTTAAATTTGCAAGGGAACTTATGTGTTTTCTAAATAATAATCGCTCTGATGTTGGTGTTTTTATTTGATAAAAGTTTGTTTTTAAATTTTGTGTTACAATAATTTAAATTGAGATATTGGTGTTTATATGGAATTTTAACATAATTTTATTCAGTGCGTTATGTGGTGTATTTTATGCGTTTTTATAATTATGTATTTTATATGTATTTCATGTAATATGTAATTTCATGTATAATTATGTATTTTATATGTATTTTATATATATATATATATATATATATATATTTGTTTTGGTTTTTACTTGGCGCAGCCCTTGTTTGTCATAAAATCTTGTCGATTAGGTGGATGGGGCTGCGCCCTATTTGTACTACATTACTAATACATACTGTGTGTCATAATACATGCTGTGTCTATTCTTTTCCAAATAAAGACACAAGACGACAGTTGATGTTATCAGAATTTCAATTTCACTTTTCAATTAGTAAGCAATAGTTAGAAAATAAATACTGCGTTTTGTAGGTATTCATGTTGAGTACGATTTACTGGAAGGATGGTCAAGAAAAGGATGGCCCTGGTCATAAAAGATAAAAATTTTCCCTATTAGAAGTAAAAAGTAAAGAACTAAAGTTTTTGTTTTAGAAGGTTTTAAAGCTTATAAACAACTTTTCTCTTTAATTTAATTTTTTAGGAGGGGAATAGATTCATGTCATCTGATCTGCAGCACTATTTTTTTATTATCGTTAATCATTCAGAAAGTCAGTGAATTGCGGATTACGTGTAAGAAATCCATAAGAAGGAATAATCTGAGATTTTCTTGATAGTGTGTATAGAAATGCAGGAGTTATTTTAATTCTGTAAGTCTGTCTGCTTAACTGTTTCATTCAGAGTTATCTGCTTGGTGTTCGCAAGTTATCACCTGCAAATTACTTCTCAGCTGTTACAGACCGATAGACCAAAATCTAAATAACACTTGATTTAGTCAATCTTCGCACAACTAAAGTTAAAATGCACAATATGAAAATTATTGATTAACTTATCATCGATAAGGTAACAAAATCAAGACAACTTTCCTTTTTTTTAGGATTAGCAACTTGCACAGAAAAAGGCCTAAAATAGTTATTTTAAGAAAAGAAGTATACGTCTAATGATTCAGCTAATATGATTTTAAGGGCAGATTAATAATAATTTGCGATTAATAATAATGCAGATGAAGAGCTGCATTTATTTCTTTTAAATCATTTAGTTTGTTAATTAATAGCAGATAGATTAAATCTGAAAGAAAATCAAATACCAAATGGTAAGACACTGTCGCCAGGAAGATACAGAATAATTTACAGGCTTTGCAACACATTTCTTTTAAATTATTGCGTTTCTTTTAAATAAAACTCGTATATACTCCAATGCTTTAAAAACTGAATGCAAGCAAACAACAAACAGACTTGTGAAACCAGTTCTAATTCTTTATTTTTTCAAAATAAATAAATAAAATAAATTAAAATATTTAGTTCATGAAGTCGTGAAATAAAAGTGTAATTTAAAAGTTGCCACAAACTTTCCAAAAATTCTAATAGATATTTTTAAGTTTCTCTTTCAGAAATTGATATTCTTTATTCAGAAATTGATATCACACTCAAAATTGCGAATTCTTATAAAGTTTATACTTTTGAATATCAAAATGACACATACATTTGTATTTTAGAAGTAATTGCCTTTTCTGTATCAGTTGTTCACGAAGTGCTTCTAATCTCCGTATTTATTCTCCTTTTGTATATTCAATACCTGGGAGTTTCTGGATTTGTTATCGACATTCTTGCAATTTGCTTTCTAACTCAGGAACTTTTAAATTGCTGTCAGATATTTCATGAGGTTTTTGTGCATTTTCACATGTGTCTTTTTCAGTGTTTAACTATACCGTTTCCAATAAAATCTTTGTTAATTTAAATTTGAAAGACAAATATATAACGCTTTGCCAAGTGGCAATATATTTCTTTTAAACAGCTGAATTTTCTGATTAAATTTGAAATATATGAATTATTAAATTTGAAATATATATTATTATATTTCAAATTTAATCAGAAATTCAGCTGTGAAATATATTATATTATATAATATCTTACACTTTGCCCTCACCGAAACTCTTTCAGACTTGTAAATTTGTTTTTGCAAATATTTTATTATTTTAAAATGCTAGTTTTATTTGAGTTTTTGAATTGTGCTCGCGAACTCAAGGTTCTGAATTGTAAATTTTGAACTACATTTATTATCAATTAAACTAACAAGTGTGTTTATATTCATTTCTTATGTGTTTAATTTAATTTGTTTAACATGTGTTAATCAAATTTTCTTATATGTTTAATACATCTAATGTTATTGTATATATTTTTTCATCTTATATTGCGATATGATTGCTACAGACTGGTACTCCGTGCAATTCATTTCCAAGTGGATCTTCATTATTTTTCAAGAAACGTGTTCAAGTTACTGAGCAAGCGTTCCTCAGATTACGCCACAAGTACTACCGGTGTGTCACGAGAAAATGTGACTTTACCGGCTCCTGATTAGTTTGCCATGAAGGCACCTGAAAGTTGGAGGTCGTTGACTGGTGAGACTGAAGACACTGAGGTCAAGGAGGAAGAGGAGGTAACCATGCGTCACATAGGTGAATGACCAGACAATTAAGCTACAGAAGACGAGACTGATCGTGAGCAATAATTAAGTTCATGAAGAATAGATCCTGATTTGTAAGGTGATAAGTATACATAAAAACACAAATGCTAAAATACAATCAAAATATATAACATACAAAATGCAGTAAAAATGAATAAGTAAAAAATAGATCTGGTTTAAATAAGAAGTACAATATCTGGAATAAATACATAAAAATACAAATAAAATAAGATCAAAACTATAATACATTATATATATTAAGGAATTACGTCGGAAAAGTGTGCCACAGAGGTGGGCTGCCCAGGGTTTCAAATCTCTGTCTTCTTGAAGGATGTAGTAATTAAATACCTGGAAGTTGGTCATGTAAGTGCAGTCAATAGCTTTTTGAAAGAATTTTTCATTACTCTTGTGGATGAACTCCTTAATATAGCCGATTTTAAGATTTTTATGCAACATAGCATTTGAGGCGAAAAAATGAGGATTCTTTATGAGTCTAAGGAATTTGTTCTGGATAATTTGAAGTTTTTTTAGGTCTTTATCATTAATAGTGGCACAGGCAGGAGAGGCATAACATAGTATTGGCCGAATAATGGCCGTATAAATATGACATTTTCTTTTCAGGTCTCGATTGGAGTATTTTCCTATGAGAGGCATTAGTTGCTTCCTGTTTCCGTATACTCTATTTCTGCTGATGTTAACGTGGTCAGTCCAGGTGAGTCTATGATTAATAGTAACGCCGAGATATTTAACCTTGCTGACTATAGGTACTTCAGTGTCAAAGATCTTTAATTTAGAGAGGATGGGCTGTCTTGATCGTCTGTTTCTGCTAATAATTAGTAATTGTGATTTATCTGGGTTGATAGCAATTCTCCATTTAACACACCAGTGCTCAATGTGAGGGATGATTTCTTGGTGTTTATTAATGGCATATTCGAGTTTAGGGACTTAACGGCGATAGCCGTATCGTCGGCATAGCGTTCTAAGAAATTATTCACATCATTTTGGATATTTGGGAAGTCAGACACGTAAAATAGATAAAGAATTGGTCCTAAAATTTATCCCTGAGCGACGCTAGCTCTAATTTTTCTGTTGTCAGAGGTTTCTTTGCCAAATGTAACATAGAATTTCCTATTTTTAATAAATGAGTAAATAAGCTGGGTCATCTCTCTGGAAAAATTATTACAGATCAGTTTGAAGATAAGACCCTCATGACAGATGAGGTCGAAGGCTGGAGACGCTGATTAGCATGATTGAAAAAAATATCAGCGCCTTAGGGCTGTCCAGGAGAAAGGACAAATATTTAATCAGTAATAAGCCCACAGTCCCATGCGTTCAGTTTCAATCAATCTTAATGGCAAAGCCGAGTTTGTAATCAAAATTTAAGAACGCAAAAATATATAACAAATAAATTTTACAAAAAACTTCGAAATTCAAAATTAGAGCTTCGAGGTGCACATGTTCGGAAGGAAGACTAAGTGTATTCAAAATTTGGTAGCTATACTTGCCGCCATTTTTCGACAGTGCAAAGAACAAATGTTACATATACACACATAAAGATTCTTCATTAGTAACAGAGAAAACAGTTCTAAAAGAAAAATACTATATTAATCTGGTTTGAGCGAATAGGAACCAAAGAAAAGGAAAAACAGTCTTTAAATCAAACTTAACTATTAGTGAAATTTAAAAATAGTCGTCACATAGCAGTACATTGTTAATTAAATAATAATACGACGTAACAGTATGATTAATTAAGTAATAATACGATGATAAGTATAGTTCGACCGTCTCAAACGCAACCCTGGCCACTCGCCCAAAAGGGGCGTTATTACTTGCTGCGACGTTGAAAGGTCACGTGAAAGTCTTCTCTTCTCCGGAAAGAGATATGCTGGAGGGAAAGAAAGTCCCCATCCCTTCTGCCCTATTTTGAGAAAAATTCGGTCCGAGTGGCACATGCGTGTTTGCGCTCGTCGCCGATGAGGCGGTCGAACTATAATAATACGAACAGAAATTTGAATTTAATTCTAATAACAGTACTGTTAATTTGATATTTAGCATTAAATTCTATTACAGTGTTTGCATTTTAACAAGCAAAATTAAACATAATTCATTTCAAATACCTCTATTAAACTTCTTTTAAAAATGAAATGACCATTAATTTTTGTTCTCTCTTTCATCATTTTTGTATCTTAATTTTTGTACTTTTTCAGTAATGCCGATGGAAATAATGCTTACAAACTATTTTTTTTCTCGCGTAATTGCAACTTACCCAACTTAAATTGTAGTAATGCCTTCCTATTTCCACATCCACCTTCAGGAAAAATGAGAACTTGCTCAAAATCTTTTCTGGAATGAACACGCTGTCGAATATCCTCTCCTATCCTTCGTCGAGCGTCTGGATCTTCACTTCGTACATAAAAGGGCTGGGAACATTTTATCATGTCTGAAATAATAATCAAATATTCGTTTCCTGTAGCATTTCAAAAACATTACTGTTGTATGCATAGGCAATAAACAGAAATGCAATTCTTTGATCCTATTCAGAAATCCTCACATCCAAATGAATTTATTTTAATAGTGAAGTGAATATTATTACTTTTTAATTCTAATACCTATTGGTAAGCTTGGAGTTCTGGAGAAAATTTTCGCCTGCAAATTTAAAATGTCCATTTTGATATTAAGACTTCAATTCAGTCGGAATCCGCCGAACCCTCTTCTGATACATTAGTAGATTAGATGATTCTTAGGGTGAGTGAAATCGTGATTACAGCCAGCTCAAAAAACATGAGCTTCAGTATTTTATGATACAACTAAATTTCAGAATTAATACATTAAATGCATCATTTATGTTAGATACCAGGTATTCTGGCTGTACGCGTCCGCCTTTTTAGGCTACTTTTTCGTAAGCTATTTACGAAATTATTTAAGAACGCAAAAATATATAACAAACAAATTTTAAAAAAAACTTCGAAATTCAAAATTAGAGCTTCGAGGTGCACATGTTCGGAAGGAAGACTAAGTGTATTCAAAATTTGGTAGCTATACTTGCCCCCATTTTTCGACAGTGCAAAGAACAAATGTTACATATACACACATAAAGATTCTTCATTAGTAACAGAGAAAACAGTTCTAAAAGAAAAATACTATATTAATCTGGTTCGAGCGAATAGGAACCAAAGAAAAGGAAAAACAGTCTTTAAATCAAACTTAACTATTAGTGAAATTTAAAAATAGTCGTCACATAGCAGTACATTGTTAATTAAATAATAATACGACGTAACAGTATGATTAATTAAGTAATAATACGATGATAAGTATAGTTCGACCGTCTCAAACGCAACCCTGGCGACTCGTCCAAAAGGGGCGTTATTACTTGCTGCGAACAGAAATGCAATTCTTTGATCGGCCGTACTTTAGGCCCTTGATAGCTTCGCAGTCTATTAATGTTAAGGGGCCAACTCTGTTAGAATTTTGATAGCTTCGGCTATACCTCTTTAGTTTAGATTAGTTTAGTTTAATTCTTAGTCTCTTAAATTAAAGTCCAAGTGTCGGCTTTATTGTACAACTCCAAGACAGAGTTCTGTCAAATCTTATTTTGAATAATAAAGGGTTATTTTACTCTTCCATCTTGTCGTTTCCTGTCACACGAACTCAAGCGGTTATTCGCTTACTAATTCTTAAGATTCTTCATTTTCAACAGTAACTTAGAGTTACCCAGTGAGGAACTCTGTATCATTATGAAAAATCAAAATAGTTAAACTGAATCCGAAATAATTTTAATTCAGAAAGATATAGATGCTTTAAATTCAGTTTACGGATATATTGTACATTGTATTCTGTAATAAAATTTCATTGCTGCAAAGAATCTGAGACAATCTCAGTAATAGTGTTCGGGTCGGTTGTAATTTGTTCATTTCTTTTTCTCGGTGTTGCCAACCGCACTATAAATATAGTATTTGAACAATAATTGAAACTTAAACTATAAAAACTAACTATAAAATAACTAAAAACTTAAACTATAAAACTAACTATAAAATTTCAGAATGGATGTGGTTCATAGTTTTATATTATCAATGAAAACGAATAACTGACTTCCGATTAAGACTGATCTCATTAACTATCTATAAATGGCTTCAACGCTAACAGAAGTAGAAATAATTTTGTATTATCAATATGCAAACTCAGAATATTTAGAAATTATAATAACATACAGCATACTCTAAAATGTTACCATCAAATAATTTTTGTGGCGGAGCGCCGCATAGGAATTATACCTGATATTAGAGTGACGCTTGGAAATGGTGTTTGGATTTCTTGTTGCAGCTAATTTCAGTTTGCCCGGTTAAATTGCTTGCTGTTATTACAAATAAGCAACCTGCTATGGTTATATTGCTACTGTTCCAGAAACCCCAATAGTGGTTTTACTGTAGGTCTATAAGGTATTTCCCTAGCCTTCCTAGCGTACCTTCGTGGTGTAGTGGTTCTACACGCTGGGCCGGTATTCCATCGGTCCGTGGTTCGATTCCCGGCTAAGGCGTTTGCTCACTTTTCATCTTGCCTGCTTTCAAAAATTACCTAATGTCTCTACAGGTCACAGAGCTGCAGCCCAATAATTCAAAGTGATGTAGTACATCTCAATAAGATTGACAGCAATGCTTTGTCTATCTCTCTATTTTTATCACCATAATATTGTTTTTAATCAGTTTCTAGCTTGCTTTCAAAGTAAACAGTACCATAGTGTTATAATTAATGTGAAATGTAGTTTCTTTCTGCATGGATCAATGGTTAAAATTTGGCATCATTAAAAAAGAAAAATTACTGAATTAGTAAATGATCTCTTTCAATTTTCAACTACCAATTCTTGCTTGGAGCAACCTAAGGAGAAGTTGACGCATATTAGCGAAATGAAGCTTCCAGCTCCAGTTTTGCAGCCGCGAAAAATGAGAAAATATATATTTATTACATCGATTTTCATTCCTAATTATTGAGAATGTCCTTGGACTTGAATATGTTATTTGCGAATAACTACTGGCTAATGGTAGTATGAAGCATCTAATAATATAAAAATCTGCTTTTTTTAAACGTTTTCTAGAAAATAAAAATAAGTGCAATATAGTTAAGCATTTGTCTTCTAATTGTACTAATGAAGATTCTGTTGAAGCCTCCTATCGCATCAGTTACTTTATCGCCCAAACAGGTAAAAAATCACAAGACTGGTGAAAATTTGATTTTGTCAGAAGTTCTTGTATGTTGAGGAATGAGTATGTTCATAAAATTAATACTGTCCCTTTCTCCAATGACACAGCCTTTCGTAAAATCAAAGAAATTTCTAATAATATTGTGTAGACTGCGATAAACGAAATTAGTGACTAAATATTTTTCCATTCAAGTTGATGAGAGTACTGATGAATCATAATTTTCTGTTTTGATAGTAATTGCATAAGTACACTGGTGAAATAAATTAAGAGAATTTTCATATTGGAAATATGATCTCCACAACTACTGGACAGATTTTAATAAAATTTGGTGTGAACATAGGTTGATATAATACAAACAAAATAAACATTCAACAGTTATAATAGACACACATGTTAGTGTGTAACACTTATGGGAGTCTGAAGATCTGAGACAGTGGTTCCAGAAGACACAAAAGAAATGGGTTAATAGGGGTATGGTCCCCTATTACAGCCATACAGACCATGCAGCGTGATGTCATACTGGAAATGAGGCAGTTTATCAGTGTCTGTGGCAATTGGCCCCAAACATTCAGCAGCGCTGTTTTCAGTTCCTGGATGGTTCTCGGAGGGGGTTGCGAGTTGCAATTGCCCTCCCCAAAGCGCTTCAGACTTGTTGTATAGGGTTGAGGTCTGGAGACCTGGCTCACCAATCCATCCGGCGAATATCCTCACTCTCGAGAAATTCGTTGATCAGAAGAGCTCTATGAAGCCTCGCGTTATCGTCCTGTAAGATAAACTCGGGGCCCACTGCACTAAGGGAAAGGTGAACATAGGGTTCCAAGACCTCATCCCTATACCTCACACCAGTCACAGAGTCTCTGTCAAAGACGTGGAGAGGTGTGCGGCCGTCCAACATGATGCCTTCCCAGACCATTACACAGCCACCTCCATAATTGTTGATTTTGCGGACATTCGAGGGTAGGTAGCGGGTCCCTGGCTCTCTCCATATGAAAGTACGGCGAGAATCGGTGTTTAGGCTAAAACGAAACTCATCGGTGAACAGAACGGTCACGCATTGCTCCCTACTCCAATCACTATGCTGTCTGCTCCATTCTAATTGGACTTTCCTGTCCGTAGACGTGAGCGAAACGCAAGCAGCCGGTTTTCTAGCAAACAGCCCTCTCTCATTCAGTCTTTTGGAAACAATCACCCTTGTTACACGGCTTCCTGTGGCTGCATACAGGTTCCGAGAGAGCTGAAAAGCTGTAGCCCCTCTGTTACACCTCGCTAAAATGGACAAATAACGATTTTCTTTGGCCGTCGTGGCTCTTGGACGACCATGCCCAGGCTTTCTCTCGATGGATCCAGTATCCCGGAACTGTTTCCATAGGTTACACACGATGCTGGACATTAAATTAAACTCTCCGCATATCTGGACTTGCGATCAGTCTGCCTCTAGCCTCCCCAAAATTCGCCACCTCATTCCATCATCTAAACGTTGATGGTTACTTATTTTTACTGTTCCGATGAGAATTTAACCGGTTGCTACAAGATAACATCAAGAAATTTGCTAAGGTGTGCTAGCGAACGCAACTCGTCTTACCCTCCACGCGCTTATGAAGCCTATTTTTCTGCTGGCTTCGCCTACACACACGTGTAAGCTTATATTTTTGCCGTACAAGATTTGCATTTTTATCTAGAAGCAGTGGTTTTTCCTTCAGTTCAATTCTTTTCATGCAATTCGATAAAATATGCAAATTCTCTTAATTTACGTCACCAGTGTACTTCAAAGGAAATGAATTTATAGAAAAACTTTTGCTTTGCCATTTTTTTACTGAACGTGCGAGAGGTGCAGGTATTTTTCCGGCCACTGATTCCTGTTGTTATGTCTGTCTTGTCCATCCATTTCATGGAAAAATGGTTGCCAGAGCTTCAAAGAGGTTGGACTTCTACTTACTTCAACTCTAATTTTGAGGGAGAGCACCTCGTGAGATTTTTCCTACTTTACTAAAAGGGAATAAAGTGGTCAGAGTGCTGTGGTTCAGTATTGATGGTGGCAAGCCTATGTCAGGTTGTTACTCAGGTCTTCTCGGATGTGTCAGTAGCCCCCTTGGTAAAGTGAACACATTGTTGCATCCATCAACAAGATCTAGCATCGAAGTCTCTTCCTACTGGTATTCTGGATGATTTTGTAAAAGTGGTCAATTTTATGAAATACCACCACACGAATTCAAGGATATTCTCATCACTGTGTCAAGAAATGGCCAGTGTTCATAAAACCTTCATACTGAGGTTCGATGGCTTGTTGGGGTAAAATTTTTGTGTACTTTCTTTTTTTGAGCTTAGACATAAAGTCAAAATATTCTTTGATACCTACTCTTCTGGACTTTCATTTAATTTAGTTATCATGAATGGCCTCAAAGCTTTGTTTACATATCCGATATCTTTTCGGAACCGGCTAATTTTTTTTCCTTCAGAACAGTGCAGTAATTATATTCCAAGTTACTGACAAAAATAGTCTTTCGTAACAAAAATAGAATTTTGGAAGTTATGTATTGAAAAGAACCAACCTAAGGTTTTGAAACACTGGCTGATTTTTTTCTCCTGAAACGGATGTTCATGTATTTAAGATAAGAAACAAATTGCAAAATTTTTTAATGGACTGAAGAAACATTTTCCCTAACATGGACTAGATTACCACTGGATTGCATTCCATTTTAGTGGAAAATATTTCGAGTGTACATATTTTTCAGTCCGAGAATAAGTTAAGTTGACTGAACTGAAAACGGATTCTTCGCTTAACGTAGAATTTGAAAAAAAGTCCCTCATCTCACTGTAGAGTGACTGAAAAAGATTATACTGAACTATTCAACAAAAGCGATCACTATTCCGCTACCGTTCACAGGCACTTTATTAGTTGAGCGGGCTTTCTCGTCCTGTACTTATTTTAAAAAAAGAAAAAATAAAGGAGCAGCTTTTTTTAGCTAAGTTTGAACTTGTGAACATATGTTTCATTTTCTGATATGGATTTTAAATTACTCAATGACTCCGGCCTTAAAGTTCCGATTAAATGTGCTTATGTATTTTTAAAAATTGAGTTAAATGCATGTAATTACCAATGATCGTAATTTTTGCATAACTGGTAAAATTTAAACTGCCTCTGTATTATTTCAATAGGTGGCTAAAAATTGGGGTACGCGGGTAATAAAAGATTGAAAAACGTTCATCTAAGACACAGTCCATCGTGGTAGTTAACTTTGCAAGCGCTGGCTACCCATCCAAATCTTAGGGAAGGTTTAAAATCTCACGAACTGATTTCGTCTCTGAATTTTACATTAATTTTTGTATATATATATATATGCAATGGCATTTTATGTGAAAATATACGAATATTACTCCAGCAAAACGTTTCAGAGTTTCATATTTTAACACTGTAATAATAAAACAAAAACAGAATATTTATAGTCAAGAAAACAAGAACTACTATATAAAAGTAAGAATTTACTTTATTGATTTGTAATTTACTTTATTGATTTGTAATTTACTTTATTTATTTGTAAGAAATCAAGAATTTAAATCTTTTTAATCTAAATGGACGGTTAATAACAAATGGGAATTTTCTCAAGCATTGTTTAGGCAGATAAAAGTACTGGTCTATTTCAATAGTTTCTGTACGATATATGAAAACTAAGGAGCCTTCAGCAACCTCTAGAATCTAGAACACAAAATGTAAAATGGAGAACTGAATTTGATTACTTAATAAAGAATAATATGCGTGAAGAACAATGAACAGATTTTGAAAAACGAAGGAAGAATATTAAATCTCGCTCACCGACATTATGCGAATAAATTTATGCTTTATATAGTAAATAAAAGGTCCTATAAAATCTTCCCACAATACTCTTTTACATTTCTGATAACCAGCAATGTATTACAATGTAACTTAAGTTACTGGAAGTGTAAGTTAGAGAATAGTTTTTAATTTGTATAATTTTAAGTCTTAAAGTAATTTTTCTGAACCATCGTGAATTTCAAACTTATGTCTAAACCTATAATTGAGAGAGAGGTATTTAATATTAATCTATATGATGTAAATGTATTTCTCTTACCGCCAAAAAAAGGAGCTTTTGTTGTTGAATCCTTGACAACCATACCAGGACAGCCAAGAGCAATAACCACGGCTGTATCGAGGAAAGAGGAATGAGGCATGACCAGAAGAATAGGAGCCTCGCGTGCTGAAGCTCTGCGTCCTTTGTGGGGAATCCATACCCATCCACCAACAACGAACATCAAACGAGCAAAGCTCACTATCAGAGGCTTGGCCCATTTCCTGAATGAATACGATAATAAATTATTAACTGTGACTATTACAAGAGTTGACATTAATATGTAGTACTTATGGGTTTGAAGTTAGGGTACAAAAATCACATATCAGAAAAGATTTGAATTCTGCACATTATGAGATAATAAGACCTTGGGCATAATATCTGAAAATGTTTTCCTCTTCGTGTTTCAAATTATGACGCAGTTTTAGCAACATATGACTTGTAACTGAAACATCATATTAATTCAACATCACATTACATTAATAGTTATAGCGATTAAAAACTAAGAAGGGACTTATCAAATGACGTAAGTCAATCTAAGTATTAAAACTTTCCCGATTTACCAGTTGAATATTTGAATAAGGGTTTGAAACTGTAATATCATTACATGAAACATACTTTTATTTTTAAAAAAATTCAAGAATCTAAATTAAATATTGGGAATGGTAACAGAAAAGTTAACCTTTTCTGAGGTATGATAAGCACATCATGAAAGATTCCTGACTAACAAATTCTATTAAGAATCTCACTATTCATCATTTTAGAAATGGTAAAAATATTTAGAATATCCAAAAAGCCCTCGAATATTAATACTGCGAAACTTAAGCGGATTTAGAAAAAGAGTTTCAAATAAAAATTAATTCTTCAACTGTTAAAGAAATCATTACAATACAATATATGGATACAATATGCGATCAAGAGGAAGAAAATTCTTCATCGATAAGAAAACGGAGAAAATACGCCTAACGTTCGCAAAATCTATGGCAAGCAAAGATTTATCATATCAAATACAATGTTATACTTTCAGTCGAGTCATAATTCATCTAAGTCCGATAGACGAACTGCTGTGTAACGTATATCCTAATTTTATAACAGTTATTTTTAGTTAAGTTTATGACACTTTCCTATCTCTTCGAGCTTCAGATCACAGGTCCTTACCACAAAGAGTTTTTAGAATCGCGTTAAATGCAAATGAGAAGTAGAGTAGTATTTAATGCAAAGTTCCACTGACTTCGAGAGAGAGAGAATTAAGATTCCTGAATAGCGCACGTTTGCCTTTCGGCTACGTCTCTCTAATAACTATTACTACGCTCGGGCCGTATTACGTGCCCTTGATAGCTTCGATAGCTAATCTAATATTACGGGCCAACTAGTTAAGAATTTGTGTTAGCTTCGGCTAAATCGCTTTAGTTACCAGTTCTTATTTCTTACATTTTTGAATTTAAACCCAAGTGGAAGCTTTGTTGTGCGTCCTGAGAAAGAAGCCAGCTGTGAATCTTTATTTTGAACAGTAAAGGGTAATTAACCCTTCTTGAGTTTACATTTCTGTTCTTGGACTTGAGCGATTATTCGCTTAGTAGTTCAGTAGGTTCCTCAACATTTAGTTAAGAGATGACAACAAAACTGGTTTCAGCATCTACAACCAGTTTTATTGCAGATGCTGAAAAACTTGACAGCATCTGCAACAAAAGTGGCAATGTAAAACGCATGCAACAAGGTTCTTAAACATACAGCCTTAAATGTCTGCTAATGGTTATCATATGATTGCCCTGAAGTTGTCAAAACTACTCTATGTTCTCCGGACTTAAATCTTATCGACAATATATAGAATGAGATGAAGAAAGAATAGCGAAACATGGCATTTCTTCGAAAGCTGTACTAAAAGCAATTCCTACGGAGGAATAGTACCAAAAAAACATACGAAAACAATTAGTTGAATTCATGACAGATCTCATGAAAAGTACAATTTTAGCTAAAAAATATTGAATATCCCTTTATTTTCGTGTTTTTATTAAAGGTAAACTATTTGTTCAAAATATCCGAATTCTCATTTGAGTTACTTTTCAGAACTTTTTGAATTATTTTTTTTAACCAAAATTGTTTTAAATAACTTTTTACAAAACAAGCAAGTTTTAGAAAAAGTGATTAATTGTTGGGAATAAAAACAAAAGTTATTTTGCTAGTATTTAGTAACTGATATTTGCAAACAAAACTGGAAGACATAAGTGTCCGAAAACAAATGTGATACGCTGTACAATTTGTAATATTCATAACTTTATTTCAAACATTCACGTTCACAACAGAGAATCCACGCTACTAAACACATTCTCTGTGAAAACATAAGATTCACGTACATTTCTGCTGAACCCATACTTCGTATTGTAACCGTTCATCAAAGTCCACATTTGTTTTAACTTTTAAGATGATCCGCATGCGAATATCATTTGTTCTGTGTACTTATATCTGTAAAATCAAATTTTGACCCATACCCGTATCTTTAATAACGGGCCTTTGGAGATTCTTTCTAAAACAGCTACGATTGCAGCGACTGTTGCATTCTTCTGCGAAGCTCTCTGACGTCTATTGCTCTGCTTATCAAACATTCATCCTGTTTTAGTTGCGTTTTTAATGACTCAGTCACGATCATGTAAGTAGTATTAGCTTTATTACAGGAAAGGCTATAGACAAAAATAAGGCAGTTTACTTCATCGTCCATAAGGATGATCTTGACTCGTTCTTGAAAAGTCAATATCATACCGGATCCGCCTAACAATGAAAGGAATTACACACCAGTAACAGTCCACTTTAATTACTTTTGCAGGTGTTTTTACCTTTAAACGAATAAAGGTATAAAAAAGATACATTAGTGTTTTGTGTTTCTGAGAAAATTTAACTGAAATTCATGAATCACGTGTTCTCTTTCCCATTTCAAAATATGGATTTAGCAGAATCTAAGATGTCCATCTTCCAACTGGCGCCTTGATGTTCATATCTCCTAGCACCAAGGGTTATCTAGCCTTCATTTATGCCTACATTAAATTACGATGCATAAAATTTAAAATCATTCAATGTCCAAAGCGTTTTGATTATGTTTTTATGGACAAATTAGAAAGACTAAGCTTTTAAGGATAACCATCTGAAATTCAAACATGTTCCAGGGTTATTATTATTTTCTCTAATCAATTCTTTATAATTTCTCACAATGCAAATTATGTTAAAAGTAAATTAAGCTGAGGTTTTTAAGCGTGTTTCTGTCTGTCCAAGCCATGTTACTAGGTGTCTGCAACTCAGATAAGATTGCATTCTTTGGCTCTGCATTATAATTGCTGACATTTAAATTTTTACATCGGTGAGATGTTTGAGCCAATTCGCGTTAAATTAATTGGGTAGTCTTTGCCCTCTGGACTTAATTTTAAATCTGACTTTACCTATTACTTGAACTGGCATCATCACAAATGGTAGTTGAGTTGTCAGCACGAGTCATGCGTTTATGCTCAAGTTCTGATTTTATAACAAGGTTTGTCTTAACACCTTCTGAAGACTTAGTTCTTTCAGACTGCAGCGGCAGAGCCAAACAGGCGATACGGACTTAAAAACTGTACAGAAAAGCGCCAATTGGCGAAACAGTAAACCCGTTTGGCAAACCTACAGGCTGACGAGAGAGAAGATTTTTCCCCGGCAGTCAAGTGGAACTACTTCAACAAATGTGTGCGTCTCTGTTTTCGCCGAGATATGTAAACTTGTGTACTCGCATCTGTACTGTGCTCTGAATTTCTTAAGCCGTTATAATGTACCCGGCAACTGTTACTTTTCCTTATTAAATTTGATTATTAATTGTAACATGTCTATCTTAACTAAGATTTCGGCTTTCCTAGTTAATGTTAGGGATATTTTCGTATGCACGTGTTACTCACACGTACATCATTGGTGACCCTGTCCCTCGCTCCTTCTGTTTCGATCCCTAATGACTATTTGTCTCAATCTTTGTTTAAAAAACTAAAAAAATATGCCTTATTTTGATGCCAATGCTCTTCCTTATGACTGATAAAGGCTCAACCCTATTATTTCCTCCTCATTTTATCGTACGGATTACACGTGGTTTATCACACTTAAGGAGGATTTACAGGTATGTGGTCAAATTTTTTTAATTATCTGTGATTGGTCTTAATTATGTTTTTGTGATATGTTTTGCTCTAAAATTATAGTTTTAATTTAATTATTGATTGTTTAAAATTGATCTTTGGGTAATATTTCGTGCTCACACTTTTATTGAGATATTGAATGTCTTCATTATTTTATTCTAAATTGATACTGTTTTGATAAGGTATAGTGCAAAACATTAAGTTTACGATTTACGATATATTTATAATTGGCAACCATGCCAGGATCGGAAGGCCAAACCAACGAGGAATCGAATATGGCGGTTCAGGAGCCACAAATCTCACACGTGGCAGTTAAAATTCCCCCTTTATGGAAAAAAAATGTTAAACTCTGGTTTATTCAAGTTGAAAGTAACTTTGCTTTATCGAAGGTTAGTAGCGATAGTACAAAATACAACCACGTGGTTTCTTCGATAGACCCTGAAACTCTTTCCGCACTATCAGATATTTTATTTAATCCCCCAGCGACGGCTAAATATGATGCCCTTAAAGCTAGGTTAATAGTAGAATTCTCAGATTCGGAAAGCGAGCAAATACGCAGACTTATTTCTGAATTACATTTAGGGGACGACAAACCATCTCACTTATTGAGAAAAATGAGAGAATTAGGTGGAAACTGTATAACTGACGAATTTTTAAAATCATTATGGCTGCAAAGGTTACCTTCCGAGGTGCATGCCATTTTATCAATAAGTTCGGAATCCTTAGACAATTTGGCAAAAATGGACTGATAAGATAGCTGAAGTGCGCACGCCAACGAACAACAGCGCGTGTTCGCGGTCCAGGCAGCTTCGGCGAGTTCCCCCAGAAACCCTAACGATTCTGGTGCCCCCCTCGAGGAGCTTAAGGCCTTAAGGAGTGAAATCTCTGCCCTAAGTAAACAAGTCGAGCGACTCTCCCGCGGAAAAAAAAAAAAAAACGAGGAATAATTTCCCCCGGGATCAACATAACACAGCACGTAGTTTTTCGCGTGGGCATTCCCGAGAGCGTGTGAACAATTATTGTTATTTTCATTCGCGATTCGGTAATAATGCACGAAAATGTCGAGCACCTTGTTCCTTTTCTCAGAACACTACGGCCCAGGAAAACTAGTAGTAGCGGCTGTCGATCGAAATTCATCGGCAGTCGCGCATTCATGTCGTTTACATGTTTACGATAACAGACTAAATTTAAACTTTTTGATTGATTCGGGCTCGGATGTTTCATGTGTGACACCGACTTCTAAGTTTAAGAAAATGCATCCTGATTCGCTTCAATTATTTGCCGCGAATAATTCCAGAATTTCTACGTATGGAACAAAATTGTTAACTGTGAATTTAGGACTTAGACGAAACTTTTCTTGGAAGTTTTTAATCGCCGATGTACCAGTGCCTATAATAGGAGCCGACTTTTTAAGGCATTTTGATCTCTTTTAATCGATTTAAAACGAGGTAGGCTTATCGATAATACTACGAAATTAACTCGTATTGGTTCTCTTTCCGATTCTAAAAATTATTTTTCGGTAAAGTTAATATCTGGTGATTCACCATATCACAGAATCTTGAAAGACTTTCCGGAAGTACTGAAGTTAAAATCCGATTCGGGTAAAGTAAAGCATAGTACGGTTCATTACATCGAAACAAACGGTCCTCCTGTGCACAGTAAACCGCGTAGGTTAAGCCCTAAGTTATACGAAGCAGTAAAAAAAGAATTTCAATTTATGATAGATCAAGGTATTTGTAGACCATCAAAATCAGCATGGTCATCACCTCTTCATGTCGTTTCTAAAAGTTCGGGCGACATACGGCCAGTAGGAGACTACCGAAAACTAAACGCGTGCACCGAACCCGACAGATACCCTATCCCGCATTTACAAGACTTTAATAATACGCTTAGCGGAAAGACAATTTTTTCAAAAATTGATATCGTTCGGGCATATCATCATATACCAGTCCATCCAGATCATATACCGAAAAACTGCAGTTTGCACCCCATTTGGTCTTTTCGAATTTCCGTTTTTAAATTTCGGACTGTGTGGAGCAGCTCAAACCTTTCAAAGGTTTATGAACGAAATTCTTGGAGATCTAAAATTCACCTACGTCTACTTAGATGATATTTTGATATTTAGTGATACGGAAGATGAGCATAAATCTCACCTACGTACTGTTTTTGAAAGATTAACTTCATATGGATTGACAATTAACGCTTCGAAATGTGTTTTCGGCGTTCCGGAAATATCTTTTTTAGGCCATATAATCAATAAAGATGGTACCAAGCCTCTGACGAACAAAGTGGAACCGATACTTAACTACCCACTTCCTAAAACGGTAAAAGATTTGCAGAGAGATTTTTAGGATTTTTAAATTTTTACCGTCGATTTTTACCCAACGTAGCCCAGAATCAAATACATTTAACTTCGTATTTAAAAGGGGCTAAGAAAAATGATATAAGACAATCCTGAATTTGTCTGAGGAAGCGCGGAGTGAATTTCAAAAGTGCAAACAGCTAATCGCTAATGCTGTTCTTTTGGCACACCCGAAGAAAGATGCCCAGTTGGTTTTACAGGTTGATGCGTCAGACTTCGCGATCGGTGGAACGCTATCACAAATAGTTGATAGAAATTTACAGCCTCTCGCATTTTTCTCACGAAAGCTTTCGCAGGCGGAAAGGAACTATAGTGCGTATGATCGAGAGCTATTGGCAGCTTATGCTGCTATTAGGCATTTTAAGCATATGTTGGAAGCACGGAACTTTTCTTTAATCACCGATCACAAACCGCTCACGTATGCATTCCGACAGCGTTTGGATAAGTGTTCACCTCGTCAGGCTAGGCAGTTAGACTTTATCTCCCAATTCACCACTGAAATTCGCCATATAAAAGGTTCGGAGAATATCGCTGCCGACGTACTTTCGCGTATAGAAGCAATAAGCATGCCTAACCCTATCGACTATGAGGAAATCGCTAAAATGCAAGAAATCGACCCAGAATTACAAACATTGCTTAAAGAGTCAAAAGTTCTACATCTCAAAAAAGTTACCTTACCGAATTGTAGCTTACCGATATATTGCGATGTGTCAACAGGTAACGCCCGTCCTTACATTCCTCCGGCATTCCGTGAGAAAGTTTTTGCCACCTTGCACAATTTGTCTCACCCCGGCATTCGCGCATCAACAAAGTTAGTATGTTCACGGTTTGTTTGGTCTTCCATCCGCAAAGATTGCGCGAAATGGGCACGGCAGTGCATTCCGTGCCAGAAAGCAAAAGAAAGCAAAAGTAAGCAGGCATACTAGAACCCCGTTAATGAAGTTTCCAGACCAAGTCACAGAGGTTTGATCACGTCCACCTTGACCTTGTTGGTCCCCTACCTCCTTCTCAAAATAATTATTACTGTCTAACTATGATAGATAGATTTACTAGATGGCCCGAAGCAGCAGTACCCTTACCAGACATAACAGCACGCACAGTAGCACAGGCTTTCTATGACCACTGGATTACTCGATTTGGTTGTCCGACTGTTATGTTATTACTACCGACCAAGGGCGACAGTTTGAAAGCGGCTTATTTCGAGCCCTTTCCCAATTATTGGGAATCAAGAGGATCAGGACGTCTCCATACCACCCACAGGCGAATGGACTGATCGAGGAATTCCACCACCGTCCTTTGAAAGCTGCCTTAAAAGCGCACGATACCAGTGACTGGGTGGCTGCCCTTCCAACGCTGCTGATGGGTTTCCGCGCCGCTCTCAAAGAGGACATAGGAGCAACCACTTCTGAACTGGTGTATGGAAAGACTATCCGTCTCCCAGGAGAATTTTTCAATCCGACACCTCCGGATGCGTCCCCCAAACAGTTTGTGGAGGATTTAAAATCTCACTTTGCCAGTGTCCGCCCGACCACGACTTCTAGCCACGGCCAGCGAACATGTTTCATTCATCCACGCCTTCACAAGTCCACATATGTGTTTGTTCGACACGACGGAGTTAGAAAACCACTTCAAACTCCTTATGATGGACCATTTAAGTGTGCTAGAAAGACGAGATAAAACGTTTGATCTCGAAATAAAAGGGACTAAGCAAACGATCTCCATAGATAGACTGAAACCCGCTTTTGTAACCATGGACTCTTCTCAAGTTGCTTCCAAGAGTGTGAAAAAAACTTCGGACATTTGTATCACCCGTTCTGGGCGATTAATCCGACCCCCCGCATCGGTATGTCACATTTCGTTGACACTGCGGAGGGAGTATGCAGCGGCAGCGCCAAACAGGCGATACGGACTTAAAAACTGTACAGAAAAGCGCCAATTGGCGAAACAGTAAACCCGTTTGGCAAACCTACAGGCTGACGGAGAGAGAAGATTTTTCCCCGGCAGTCAAGTGGAACTACTTCAACAAATGTGTGCGTCTCTGTTTTCGCCGAGATATGTGAACTTGTGTACTCGCATCTGTACTGTGCTCTGAATTTCTTAAGCCGTTATAATGTACCCGGCAACTGTTACTTTTCCTTATTAAATTTGATTATTAATTGTAACATGTCTATCTTAACTAAGATTTCGGCTTTCCTAGTTAATGTTAGGGATATTTTCGTATGCACGTGTTACTCACACGTACATCAAGACAAAGTGATAATTCGCTCTAAGTCTGTTAGAAGTTTGCCCTTAGTTTATGCTACCAAAGAATAGGAAACTGTATAACATTTTATGTTTATTTCATTCAAATTAGTACGAGACCATAACCATAACTTAAAAGTTTAATTTTAATGACTCATTAATTACAGAAAATTGCATTTTTTTTTAATGAAACGTTAAATGTCTCTTACCGCCTCCAACCAGATAATGGTTCCAAGCCGCGTGCTTGTTCTTCTGGCATTCCTAGGAGAGTGACCAAGCTCAGCAACCAACCACATACCAGGAAGAATAACATAAGAAGTAATCGCAGCGGGAGCAAAGTAACAGATAAAAATACTACCTGTAATAAAGAATTAGTATCAGATGATGTTATCGAAAATTACAAGTGTATTTAGCATGTTATTATTTCAAATATATATATATTTTTTTCATAGCTAGAAAACAATTATAATTTAAATAACTTTACAAACTTTTTTCGTAAATAATACCATGCGTCTGTCATAAATAAATATGTAAGAAATGCATTTGATAGTTTGGAATGAATGTGGATTCTGGCAGGAAAGTTACAAGCGTTATCAAAATATCTTCATTGATGAATTGTTGAGTTCGTTAAAATTGCGTGAACGAGTAGATAAAATAGTGTATACCGACTGCTTGTTGTCGATGAAGGGCTTTTAAATTCTGCTGTAGGGTAATGTAACAGCCAGAACTGATCAAAACTAAATGTTGAGTGAATGTTACTAACCATATCATAAAACAAAAAGTAATCTAATGCATGAACTGAAATTTCCTGTTCACGCCAGCACGACAACGAAGCCTATATGAGGATTTTCTCACCCACGTTACTTTTGCAAAATTTTTAAACTGATACAGATATCATCTGAGGCGGCTCAAAACAGTTGACATCATCGCGCTAGTCAAAGTTGCACACACTAGCCCAAACAAGGCATTTTCAAACTTTATTTCATTTTTTCATTCGCGTTCGGTCGCTTATCGGCAGAGCAGATTAAGACAATCTCAAATCTTCGGGACAAATATTTGTTTTTTCGTGAGAGAAAGATAAGGCTATAGTAACGTATGTGTTGAATGTTCATCTAAAGTGTCTTTTCCTCACTAGAGGGAGCCAGGAGTTCCACTTGTGAGAGAAATTAAAACCTTGTTTTTTATTCTTTTTTGTAACGAGTAGATAGTTCGGTTTCGAATCCGTGTGATGGACGGATAAATTGTTTCGTACAGCCATAAGAGAAAAAGAAAAGCTGTTCAAGAAAATGTACTTAAATATTAATTTTTTCCTTTTTGAATGTTTTATGTAAATAAAATGGGATGTTAAGAAATATAATTGTGGTTTTTCTGTAAAGAAGATTGCCAGCTGAAACATTGATTCAACGATGCATCAGAAAAGGTAAATGAATTTAGTTCTTGTTTTTTAATCAGTTATATAGTAAATAGAACCTGCATACGTCAGTGGATTCTGACAATATAGACTAACCCAATGGGCGGGGCGCGCGTCACCGACATGTCGGCAAGAAAGAGTAGGGACGATCTGGTTTACTTTAACACTGAAAACCTATGGCGTTTGTATCACATAACTCTTTTTAATTATTAAATGTGATGCGTTGTATAGTGATGAGATTATGAAAGCCACAGTTTTTTCCAAATAGGATTTAATATATCTCATTAAAGCACTTTTTACTGCATTTTCGCGCATTTTTTTCACGCGTAATTCTTGTACAAAACATTTTTACTTTGGTTTAAACGGTAAAAAACTCTAAGCACAAAATTTATGAACTTCATTTTGCGTAAAAATAAAGTAAAAAATTAAATATATTGATAGTACGGGATGCTTTGAAATAAAGGTAAAATTAAACAAGATCTGATATATATATTTTTTTTTTTTTTTAAATTTAATGAACATTTTCAGGCAGTGATTTTCAAAAAACTATAATAACATCACAAAAACGATTACTTAGTTGATTATATGATCATTAAAATTATTAACATTAAAGTGGATTATTTATTTTAGTAATTTATAAAATTCGGAGCATAAAATTTTCTGAGTGTAATGCAGAGGGAAAAAAAAAAGATAAAATAAAATCTAGACGCACTCAGATTTTATATTACGCCCAAAAGGAACCTTTTTTTTTAACGTTTTGTGTGGTACCTATATTTATTGAATATCATGTTCTTCACCCGTAAACCACATACATTTGAAAACAGCATATCTTTAGAATTTCCGCACTGGAGATAAAAATGCTATTTTCCGTATAGTATTACCATTGCTCGCTTTGAACTCGTTGAGTTTGTTAATAAAAAATTCGTTAAAGTTTTACAAAATATGAAATAGATTAAAACAAATTCGAAATTCGACCGTCCAGATGCTCATGTTCGGGTGAGGATTACATTATTCAAAATTTGATGGCTCTAGATTCCGTCGTTTTTGTCACAGTGCAAGAAACATACATGCATTCAGGCAAATTCTTCATTATTTAATTTCTTTAAATATAATACAGGGCGGTAATATTTGGTAACAACAATTTGCAAGGAGACACGGACATTTATTTATAGTGAAACAGCGCAAAATGCCGTTTCGAGCTAATAAAGTAAATTAACAGTAAATTAAAAAAAAAAAAAAAAAAAACTTACGCAGAACTAAAAATAAATCACTGTAAAATACAAGCAAAATTAATTATGACGGTTAAATACAATTTTAATATTAGAATTAAATGTATAAAAATTAAGGAGTCGAAAGTGTTTATCACTAGGATGTATTATGAAATATGATTGAAATAAAATTCCTTTATAGAAATTGTGCTATAATACTCATCTATAATTTAAAAAAAGCAGCACAATTTAGAATTTTAAACAAAACTTTCAAAAATTCGTTTTAAATATTTTAGTATTTTTTACTTATTTACACCAATAAAAAGCATAAAAATTGCAAGAGAAAAATGCTTGTTTGAAATTTTCTATTAGTTCAGATTTAAAATATTATTTTCTAAAAGAAGTAGTTACAAATTTCCTTACAGCATAGGAAAAGCTAAAAAAATATCCAGCCCTAAAATCATGCAATAGCTTTATAGTTATTTGGAACGTTAATTATGCTTGAATAAATATGCTAAATTTTTAAAAATCAATCTCAATTTCAAAAATAAAAATATGTAGAAATTCTAATTTGTGAAATGAGGCGCTACAACTAGCTTTTTCTTGACAATTATACACGCTGCAATAGGCAATCAATGTTAAATTTCTGTCAATCAATGTTAAAGTTGTCCCTACTCCTCTGGATGTGATCAAGGTGACAGCCGGCAACGCCTCAGACGAGGGAGAAAACCCGTTTGGGTTAGTCTATTTCTTATAAGGTCTATGATTCTGACAACTTCGATCAACAGTAGTTGATTAATTACCTAATAGTATGGGATGAATTTAAGACCTTTTAAAACGCGGGGACGTAGATTTGCGCCATATGGGCATGGACAGCAATCAGGTTCTGATTATCGAAGAAAGCGCTTACACCAAACTCGCATTTATAATTGGGTAAGCAATATGAGGATCTGTTTGGAAACTTTCCTTTACATTTAGTATTTATATTTTGGGGAGTTCAGATTTAGTAGATTATTCGATCACATTATCTTTGAAGTCGATTGATGCATCGCTTCCCATGCGCTTCCGATTAGTATAAGGCTTCGTTCAGACGGTGGTGTAAATGCTATAGAGGCATAGTCATAAGATATAAAATGCGAGAGTTCCATTCACACTTGCGAGACAGGGTATAAATCGTAGCCAGTTAGGGCAACTAAATTTGCGCATGCGTGGAGGTGTCTACAGCTTTCCAGCTCAAATGATTTTCGCGTGTTTTCTCTCATTGGTCGACTTTTACACCAAGCTGTCATAAAGTTGAAAACTTCGAAGTTTATGCTCAAACCAGTGCTCTTTCTACAGACAAGAAGTTACTCATTTAAATATCCATATTGCGTCCCATGCTATGTTATGCTTGTCCTGTTTGCTTGCCCATATTCATGCCGTTCTAGCCGAAAAAATTACAAACAGCCCAAAACTGTGTTCGGCGCCAAATAACCAACTCACCTTGGTATGTGAGGAATAACAAGGTACATGAGGAATTGCAAATAGTACAATTGGAGAACTTATTACTATCCTGCGGCCAGAAACCTTTTTGACACACAAAAACTTATTGATAATTTTGCTATTAGCATTTATAACTATGATATTAATGATAACATGTATAGCGAAAGGCCAATGGCAATACTGAATGCTCAAAAGGATTATTTTGTATTTTATTTATGCATTTGATTTTGAAAATTTTGTGCTTCTCTTTCGTAGGTTTTACGCATATTTCGTATTTATGTTTATAATTACTCTCGTATACATTCTCAATAACGCACCAATGATTCACAGTAGATCAGCCCACCAGCGGCCGAGCGGTAAGTCGCTGAACACTGGTAGTTCGGTCCGAGGTTCGAATCCCGCGAACGGGCTGGCTGCATGGGTGTTTTCGGGGTTTTCCCCATGTGTAACGTGTATACGAGTCAGTTTCCCTTAGAAAGTCCTCCACGAAGGCATTCCTCTCCTTAGGCAGATAGCCCTCGAGGCTTTGCCATAATCACAAAATCAAAACACAGTAGATAATTATTTGCTTGCACATAATCTGTGTTTTCAGGACTACCTGTCACCAGCTCGATACAGCTCTGGCATTTTCTGTGGTATTCTTCGGTTTAGAATTAATATGTGCACGTCAGATGTTTTTCGGCCCACCAGCGGCCGAGCGGTAAAGTCGCTGAACACTGGTAGTTCGGTCCGAGGTTCGAATCCCGCGAACGGGCTGGCTGCATGGGCGTTTTCGTGGTTTTTCCCATGTGTAACGTGTATACGAGCCAGTTTCCCTTAGAAAGTCCTCCACGAAGGCATCCCTCCTCTTAGCCAGATAGCCCTAGTGTGCTCTGCTATAATTAAATAAACCAAACACATATTTTTCGATCTTATGCGCAGTATTGCCAGATCGGACGATTTTTCGCAAAGTTGCGACTTTTGAGAAACTTTTGCGATTTTGCGAAAATTTTCCGACCTCCATCATTTTCTTATGCTACTTTTTGCGACTTCAAAGTGATTTTTTAATATATCGTAAAATGCTTACATGTTAAAATAATGTATCAATTAAAAATAATTTACACTTGATAAAAACAGTTTATTTAGGCTTAAGCAGAAGCTGGCACCTGGCAATCCAATTTACATGTGGGCTTTCCTTTAAGGCTGCACAGTCTCACCCCGGTATAACGGGAAGGAGGGGGGAAGTAGAAAAGAAAGAAAAAAAAAATTGCTTCGAGA